CTGATCTTGCCGTCCAGCAGCGAAGCAATTGAAGCCTTTTCCAAGGAATGCACCAGCTCGGCCTGCGAGAGAGCACCAAGCTTTAGATCGAGTTTCAAGATAGAAAACTCCTGCGCAATTTGTGGTGTCATCAATCGGGGCTCGGTGGGTACGCGACGTTGGGCCGAGGCACTGGATTCTCCAAGATTTTCACTACCCATAGTGGCTGCGCGCCTCAGATCCGGTCGAGGCGGGGTGTTGGGTCTGCTGTCATCGTTTCCGAACTCCGAGTGAGTCTGCTGCAGCTGGGGTCGGCCTCCGGGGGAAGAGGGTGTGCTCTGTACGGAAGGATAGTGGGCGGGCCATTGGCGGTTCATGTCCTGGAGTTCCCTCAATGTCTCGATGGTCCGGGAGATCGCGCGACCAAGCTTGGTTCGGTTTGAGTTGCTGTAAAAAGATAGTGAGCCTAGTCATCTCACCAATTTGTTTGCGAAGGTTTCAACGTACTATAGAAGTTGAGAGACATGACTAGCAACCACTTGCTTCTCATGTTCAGCTGTAGCCGAGAGACGCGTTAGTCCAACTTGCTTCTGGATGAATGATACTTATGCCTCTCCTCGAGTCACTTACCCGCAGGATTCCATTCTCCAGGACGCGTTGGTGTATGTATCGGGGTCGGCCTGTCCTCCATCAATCCTGCACGCCAAGCGGCGTTCGGATCTTCCTCCATGCTCTCGCCAGCAATGCTGCCTCCATATCCCGAATCTTGGTTCAGAGAAGTCATCAGGGCTGTGGCGCTATCCGAGGTCGAACCGTTGCCCACAGTCATATAAGTCGGCGGGGGGAAAAACGGATTCCTTTCAGGGATCTCCTCTTCTCCTGGGAACCTGGACGAGCTAGCTCGTGAAGAGCCCTCACCGGGGTAATATTCCTGACTCATGGCTTAATACCGCGTGGAAGAAATCCATCCAAGAGAGAAAGATGTTTTGATTTAGCTTATGCGATGATTTCCAAGGTTTCATGACGTCGATCCCAAAGAGGACTAGCGGCCATGTGACCCAGTAATCCGGTGACAGAACGGTAATATTACAATCCCGCTTGATGTCACTGCCTCCGTCTGTTTGTATATGTACCTGCGACCACTTACCAACTCCACCTAACTTTTGCCCGCTAGCATGAATGTAAGCTACTCAAACTCTTTAATGATGACCATGATACTCACACAGATCTTCTCAGATCGTCGAATGGGCTTTCGGAAAGCGCATGACGCCCGCGGAGCGTCTGCGCAAACACCAGCGTGCCTTGGACCGAACGCAGCGCGAGCTTGACCGAGAGCGGGTGAAGCTGGAGAACCAAGAAAAGAAGTTGGTGCAAGATATCAAGAAGAGCGCCAAAAATGGACAGGTCGGAGCCTGCAAGATCCAGGCCAAGGACTTGGTCCGGACACGGAGGTCGCTTCTCCAGAGCTGTTTATTGATCGCAACCGTCATGGCTAATTGGACAATGACAACAGATATATCCAAAAGTTCTATCAAATGCGCACGCAATTACAGGCCATCTCTCTCCGCATTCAGGTACGACCGAGGCCTCATCTGTTACCCCTCCATCTCATGTGCTGACTATTGCTACCTCACAGACCGTTCGAAGCAATGAACAGATGATGCAATCCATGAAGGGAGCCACGATGCTTCTGGGTAGTATGAACAGACAGATGAATCTCCCGGCGCTGCAACGGATTGCGATGGAATTCGAACGAGAGAACGACGTTATGGACCAACGGCAAGAGATGATGGACGATGCGATCGATGAAGCTACCGGAATGGAAGGCGAAGAAGAGGAAGGGGAAGATATTGTGAAGGAAGTTCTGGACGAAATTGGTGTCGATTTGAACCAATCGGTTTGTCTCCCCAAGCATCCACAGGTGAATCTTAGCTAACATACTCCAAGTTGGGTGAAACACCAGCGGATATACAAAAGGCCCCCGTAAACGAGACGCGGGTTGCGCAGGCTATTGGGGGCGGTGGAGGTGGAGGTAATACGAGTGACGACGACCTCCAAGCAAGGCTGGACAGTCTTCGACGATGATTACTTTACGACTTTCTCATTCTATGCTATTGATGACAGGCGTCGGTGGAATATTACTTTTTGACCAAGCCTCACTTGAATTTAGTTGCCTTGCTGTTCTTAGCATGCCGTTGAAAACATTCTTGTTGCCTGTCCATTACATCTCTTATTCTTTTCCCTCAGATATCCTCAAATCATAGGTGAATTGCCCCAGGTTCTAAATATAGCGTGACTTGTAGGTTGCCAACGATGCAGTTGTTGGACTTAACCTCGAATCAGAAAAGAAGGACATTTGGAGCCTCCAGCATTTAGCGTCACACTCTCAATAATTTGGATAATTTGGGACACTGGTCCTTTCTGCAGGCTTCTCTATTCTTTTTGCTTTTTTGGACTATTTGCAGTTGTATTTCTACTTTGCTCTCAATTTACTAAATCATGGCTGGCAGTCCAGTCCCAGAGTATATAACAGACCTATATAATCTTTTCAGTCTTCCTCATATCAGATGCCCCAGTAGCCTAGAAATCATATCATGAAGTAGAAGACCCTGCAGGCCTGATGATCATATTGTTCTGTGCAGCTCAGCAGGTAACACACCCATGCAGTAGGGAGATTCTCCAGTAAGCCGTAAAATCCCTCGTTGTCGATCCAGCGCTGTCTGCGCTTAGCTGCCTGCTATCTAGTCGTGTCATGATAAGATCACCAGACTTGATGGGGTGGTCAAGCCTTGGGGCCGTATCGAGAACTATGCATCAAAAATCCTGGCACAGCATCAACATCTAACCGCAAAAGACCGAAGGCAGAAAACCACAACGAATTGAATTGACAAAGAGTCGAAAGATAATAAAAAATAATAAACACGAATGCCAAGCAAAACCCGGGCAACTTACGCTTTGAGACTCTGGAGGCAATAGTTGGCTCGCCCCCATGATGGGGCTGAGGGCTGATAACCCGGGTAAAGCTTTCAAGCTGACCCGCATGCTTGGAAAGAGCCTTAGGTCTAGAGCAACTGCAAATAAATAGTTGCCAAATTTCCGCTGCTATTGAAATAGACTAAGTCTTTCCTTCTCTTCCTGGCCTTAAACCTACATACGATATCTAGAGACAATGACTATCCCCAACTGCGATACTGTCAACAGTCCTTCAAATCATCTTCAAAACAATATTGGAAGTCCATGTCGACAAAGACAACTCAACAGCCGCTCTCACACCTTTCCTCAAAGCTCTGCAGGAAAGATTGAACCAAATCTTCCGGCCTACGAGGGTTACACTTACTCCCAAGCGGACCCCATTCCTGGGCAAAGCGCAACGTGGACCCGTGTGGAACGAACCGACATGAATATAAGCCAACATGAACTCTTTGAACTGGTACAGAAACGGGGAAGTAAGAAGTCGGCGGCACAACAATACCAAAATCTATCATCGATCACCAGACGAGCGCATATCAACCAACTGATCGACGAACAGCGTCGCAGGAATCCACTCGTTGAGTGGAGTTTTGTCTATGCCAAAGAATATTCACGTCCTTCCGAGGCCCCCAATGCTCGTTATGGAGACTACGAGACAGTCTCCATGAATGTCATTCTTCTGAAAATGCCAAAGCCTCAGATGTATACCAGAACACAAGTCGGGGATTCAGCGACTAAACACTCGGATCCTAGCTTGGAGACGAGTTACCGGGCACTAAAGCAAGACCGCTTCATTAAACCAAATCAGGCAAGCGCGGCCATCGATAATGTACTGGAGAGTCCAGCGCCTAGCCCTGCCAACAGCAGCGAGACGAGCTTCGAGCATAGTTCGGGCTGGTCATCCGATGGCAGCAGTGATGCAAACGCCAGATCGATGCTATTTGAGAAATTTGACGAGACCTCCGAGACTGACGACTCAGAATCCACGTGCGACGGGCATCAAGAGGTACGGTCGATGCGACCTTATCTCAGACAACAGGCTGAGATTCCTCAGCCTGGCAGCCCTCGTGGCCGCAAACCCAGCTACACCTGTGGGGAGCCAAATAGTCGCAGCCTTGATCGCAGACAAGAGAGGAATATTCCTCTTCGTAGTCAATTCGAACTACCTGCGGCAAAGACCATTGGTCCGAAGCGATTTGATAGGGGTAGATCACGCGGATCCATGCCTGGGGGGCGATACAGAATGCAGCTGATGAACGACAATGAAATACGGGATCAAATGCTTGATAACCGCAAGCCAAACATTGGACATCGAGAAAAGAGACTCAAAAGAACTTATTATGAAGCCCTCGAGCTAGAGCAGCGTCAATCGGCAAAGGATGTTTCCCGGTTTGTCGCTGCACTTGTCGTTGCGCTATCAAGGAGAAGAGAGAAGTTGATTGATTAAGTTGATTTGTCCCTTTTTTTTGCCCTTGTGGCTTCTTCTATCTAGTCTTCCCGTCAGCGGCACTACGTTTTGGGTGCAGTTGTTTCGACTTACTCGGGTCCACCTGGATTCGAGCCGTCCCGCGTCACTGAACTAGGATATTGGAGGAGATGTCTTCGACAGGGGAGCTGTGTTCTCTTGTTCTCTTCCAAATTGTTACTTCTTCGGGAATCACATGAATGGGATTTTGAATGATCGTGTCAACATTCAAATCAATTTTTGCCGGGCAGACGCTTGGTATAACGATCTATACGATCGATACCGACTGCGTACGTAGCCTTTTATAGATAGCATGTATAGTATAAGTTTGAGGTAAATAGACTCAATGCCATAATTTTGGGACATTTATTCCACATTTCCCCGACCTGCATGTATATGTATGCATGCTTTGACTCTCAGATCGGCGGTTATGTCATAGAATTCAAGTGTTGCCCGATAATTCAGGCAACAAAAGATGTGCCCCTCCATTTAATTTACTTCCCTCCCACCTCTACTCTCCTCTCCTTTCCATATCAACTTCTTTCATCCTTCTTCTACATCTTTTCAATCCTCTACATACATCATCATGCCTCGCCAATTCTTCGTCGGTGGTAACTTCAAGATGTACGTCAGATCGGGCTTCACTGCCCCGCGTCGATACCTTTCCATCATCACTGTATCCGCGAAAGAACGCGCAATTGACCCTATACAGGAACGGTGTTTCTGAGAGCATCGCCAGCATCGTGAAGAACCTCAACGCCGCTAAGCTCGACTCCACCACCGAGGTCGTCATCTCTCCTCCCGCCATCTACCTCGCTCTGACCCGTGAGCTCGCCAACCCCAACATCGGCGTTGCTGCCCAGAACGTCTACGACAAGCCCAACGGTGCTTTCACCGGTGAGATCAGCGTTGAGCAGCTCCGCGATGCCAAGATCAACTGGGCTGTCATCGGCCACAGCGAGCGCCGTGTCATCCTTAAGGAGAGCGACGAGGTATGCATCTCCGCAGTTCTCCCAAACCTCAACTATCCACATCTCCCCCAACGGGAAAACACCCCAACTAACCTCTACTGAACAGTTCATTGCCCGCAAGACCAAGGCTGCTGTTGAAGGCGGTGTTTCCGTCATCCTCTGCATTGGTGAGACCCTTGAGGTACGTCATTTCTACCCAGTTTTCTCATTTTCGTCCCGATGTGGGTCATCGGGACAATGCCGGCTATTACTTTTGTAAATGCATCCCGCTAACACCCGACTCTTATGCAGGAGCGTGAGGCCAACAAGACCATCGATGTCGTCACCCGCCAGCTCAACGCTGTCGCCAAGGAGCTCAGCAAGGAGCAATGGGAAAAGGTCGTCATTGCCTACGAGCCAGTCTGGTATGAACTTACCTCATACCCTTTTGTATGCATGCATTTGAACATACCTAACGTTTTATATTAGGGCTATCGGTACCGGCAAGGTCGCTACCACTGAGCAGGCTCAGGAGGTCCACGCCGCTATCCGCAAGTGGCTCAGTGAGACCATTTCCGCTGAGGCTGCTGACAATGTTCGCATCATCTACGGTGGCTCCGTCAGCGAGAAGAACTGCCGTGAGCTCGCTACCCAGCCCGACGTTGACGGTTTCCTTGTTGGCGGTGCCAGCTTGAAGCCTGCGTGTAAGTTGATCTTTATATCCAAAGGTGGAATGACAGTTTATACTAATAACCGTTATAGTCGTCGACATCATCAACGCCCGCATCTAAGGGTATTTCAGAATATATTAATACCCCATAGTACCCTGACATCAGAGCAGATAGCTCTGGGATGCAGGAGCCAGGTAGAGATTAAAAGCTTGGAATGTCAAATATATTGTCATGAATCTTATGTACAATGATGGAAGTATATCTTGATAACACATAGTCGTCGCTTCGACAGCGGTTAAATAGTCATAGCCTCAGTAGTCAAACAGAAACGCGCAAAAAGCGCGCATCCTATGACGAGTACAACACAGACACGCCAACCCCGCGCCAGAACGACATCCCAGCACCCCCGCCTGCACTCTGGGCCGACCCGCTCGCCGAAGCCGAAAGAGAAGGCGACGGAGAAAACGAACCCGGGCCTAACCCGACACCGGCACTCACAAGCAACTCCTTAACCCTACCCTCCCAGAGCAGCCTCACATTCCAAGACTGATCAACACGCAGTTTAATGACAGAGTCACTAACCTCCGCCTCACCATTCTTCTCAGAGACGATGGACTCGGGACGAGCCGGGTCGTCCAGGAGCGGGGAGGCCGGTGAACCGGGCAGGGAAGCGCCGATATCATGCAAGCGCATTTTGCGGCGGGCCCATTCGAGGCCGTCATCATCGTCGGACTTTGATTTCTTGGTTTGGCGCCATAGCTCACAGCCAGCTACCATCTCGCTTTCCCAGCTATAGACGTTGAAGCCGAAGCGGGAGCTGAAGGCGAGGTTGGGCGAGGCGCGAAGGGAGTATGTTGTTGATAGAGAGCCCGTTACTGGGGTTAGGGTTAGAGTTAGTGTGTAGGGGAATGTTGAGATTGGTGTTGGGGTAGGTGAGAATTTTGATGTTGATGATAATAATGAGGAGCGCGGGGATGCGGGGACTTCGGTGGCTGCGGGTAATGTGCTGAAGCGGAGACCCGTTGACATGCCAATTAGTGAGGATACTGGGGAGTAGTAGGCTTCTGCGCCTGCGGATAAGAGGGATAGTGGTGGTGGCGCATCGTCGCGTGTGTATCGAGGGTCTGGGCCGAAATTCCACAGTCCGCGCCAGCCGAATAAGGCGTTGTCTGTGCTGAATAGATACTCGTTACTGTACTTCCCTGTGTCGTGGGATAGTTGTGTGAGCATTGAGGCCTGTGGTGCTGAATTGGACAGCGGTGGTCCTTGTGTTGAGCAGACTGCTAATGACAGTTGCATGGTGGTCGAGATCCTGCGCAGGAAGAGCGCATATAGAGTTGTTGGTGGTGGGAGGTGCAGAGATGCATAGAGCAAAGTTGCTTTGCGCTTGGCTTCTTCTTCTAGATTACTCTCTCCATCCTTGCGGTTCCCTTCCTTGAGCCCGGGGATGCTAACGCCGTCTAATAGGGAGTCCCATCCCCAGGTTTGCGCCGGGGCTGTGGGCGCCTGCACTTGTCGGTAGCCTGGGGAGATCTTGCGAAGCGGGATCAATGCGCTTCTACTTGGGAGGTTGTTGAAAGGGACCGTGCTGAAGAGATATGATACTGATCCATCAAGTAATCCAACGGTGCCGAGGGTATAACTGGTCGCGAAATGAGGTGTGGATAGCGAGGAAAGATGAACGCGTAACCGCTCCGGAGTTGAGAAATCAAGAATCGCTGCGCCAAATATGTTAGTTGACAGTCGAAGCACGCCACAGACCCCTGGAGGATCAACTGCCAGTCACATACATTGAGCCGTGGTAGTTAGAGAGGAATACGAATTGTCGCGATTCCAGTTGGTCGCCTCGGCGAAGGAGAGCTGGATGTAGTCCATGAAATCCAGCATTGTACAAACTGAGCCCCTGTAGGCTACAATTTAAACATTCGCACTCAAGACCAAAGAACAGCGAGCGCTGGAGGATGGAGAGTTGAAGTTGGAAGTTGAATTGACCCTGAGGATCACAGCTGATTTCCAATTTGGGTTAGCGTTGGATAAGCCCGGGCCCATGTTAATCCGGTTATCAGCGAAGAAAAAATGTCTGTGGGGGAAACATCCAACCTCTCGTCCGAATTCATTGATTCTCCAATTCTCCCATAATTCATCATGCCTCGTTCAAAGCGTGCGCGCGTCGTTCACGAGTCCAAGACTGCCAAGAAAGATCACAAGGAGCAGACCCGCCGTCTGTACGCCAACATCCGGGAATGCATCGAAGAATATGATCATCTTTTCGTCTTTGCGGTCGATAACATGCGGAATACCTATTTGAAGGATGTGCGCACTGAGTTCGGTGACAGCCGGTAAGCGGAACCTCCCCAGACAGTCTTTGCATGAATTATCGTATTAGAAAAAGCGTCAGGACACCAGCGCTCGGATCTGATATCAAATGTTGATATGCATGTCTACCACCCAAGAAAAAGAATCTAACGTACATTCCTCATTGCAGTGTCTTCTTCGGCAAGACCAAGGTTATGGCCAAGGCTCTCGGCCAGAACGCCGAGAGCGAAGCAGCCCCCAATGTGCACAAGCTCACTCCTTACCTCACCGGCGCCGTCGGACTTCTGTTCACCTCGCGCACCCCGGAATCAGTGATCGGCTACTTTGAAAGTTTCCGCCCCCAGGACTTCGCTCGCGCTGGAACCGAAGCCACCCGCTCTTTCACCATTCCCAACGGCCTGGTCACCGCACGTGCCGGCGAGATTCCAGTCGAGGATGACGAGCCCATCAGCCACACCATTGAGCCCGCGCTCCGCAAGCTTGGTGTCCCCACCCGCCTTGTCAAGGGCAAGGTTATGCTTGAGTTGACTGAGGGCCAAGAGGGTTACCCCGTTTGCCGCAAGGGCGAGACATTGGACTCACGGCAGACGACACTGATGAAGATGTTCGGTGTTACTTCTTCCGAGTTCAAGGTTGACCTCAAGGCTTACTGGACCCGAAGCAGTGAGGAGGTTAAGATCCTGAAGAGCCAGGGTGACATGGAGGTTGATGCATAGATGGGATTTTTTTCTTGATTTTTCCGTTTTTCTTCTTTCCCTTTCCCATTCGGCTTCCGTGTCGCTGAAAAAAAAGAACTCTGCTGGGCATCTTATGGAGTTTGGTGAGGGCGCTTCCTTTGCAAATATCTTGAAGACTTGCGTTATATTCCTCTATTTCTCTCGTCTTTATCCGGAAGGCCATCTTCTGGATCATGAGCCTATGATAAGATTTGGATACCAGGTCGGAAAAAAAGTATACAAGTCACTTATTTATCTTTCGTGAACCTTCAGAAATTGTAGTGCAGAATCGCTAGTCGTATTACATAGGTTTGCATCTAACTAGCAAGTTACCTGCTTTCTGTCATGCCATAGTTCTTACCTGGTCTTACCTGAGCGTCACTTGATTCCATATTTCATGTTTCGCGCAGAAGACCGACTAAAATACAAATACTTACCCTCGGAGAGAGTAAATGTAACCCCATCAGGACCAGGAAGAAAAGTGGAAAAAAAGAAAAATTGAAACACAAGTGAAGAAGAGGAACACCGGGCAAAACAAAGATATAGAAACGGGGAATACAAGCAGTTCATGAATGTTCACCTGATCTGTTCACTGGTATGCATGTGAACTAACAAGGGAGACGGAGAATGGATACTTCAGAGCCAAGCATGAAGCAGAAATCGCAGCGTGAGTTGGAAACATTGGATGTTTTGTGATCGTCATGATGTAGATCCGATATGAGATGGGCCAACGTCTTGATTTGCCCCCCTTACCCTTGCGGAAGAACACGTATAGAACTGGGCAGATCAGTGATACCCACTAGTCAATCAGGACTGAAGAGAATAAAGGGAAGATCAGGGAGAAAAGTGAAGACCTAATATCTTCTCCTGGAGCGAGGGTCATCATATCCGGCATCATCCTCACGGTGTCGCTTGCGGCCATAGTCTTCCCGGCCGCCACTGCTACCACCATACCTGTCGCCGCTGCCGCGCTCACGATCACGGTCCCGGTAACGGTCTCCACCACCTCGGTCTCCGTTTCGGTCTCCCATACGGTCATCGCGGCGATCTCTGTAACGATCATCGCGGTCATCACGGCGGTCACGATCTCCATAGCCGTCTCCTCGGGGTCGGACGGGCTCTGAGTTGCTTCCGGTAACACCACGGTCAAATCTGCCACCACCACGGTCACCACCGCCGAAACCTCCTCGGAAGCCTCCACTGCGTCCACCACCGGGTCCAGAGGGAGCGTTTGGGGGTGCTTGTCCACCTCCACCGAAGCCGTTGCGTCCACCTTGATATCCAATACCACCACGAGGGCCACCGAAGCGGTCACCACCACCGCGGAAGCCACCACCACCACCACCTCCACCACGGAAACCACCACCTCTGCCACCAAAGCCGCCGCGGAAACCGCCTCCAAAACCACCGGGTCCAGATGGTGCGTTGAATCCAGGTCCACCGGGTCGAATTGGCATGGCCTTGGTGTAGCCACGTCCTCCGAGACCACCGCCAAAGCGACGGGGCTTCCATCCCCTGGTAGTACGGCCACGCTCGACATCTACCAAAACCCGTCGGTCCTTGATCCGGATGCCATCTGTTTCTTTGTAGGCCGCTGGTAGTGGGCAAATAACTGGTGTCAGCAACATATCTTACCGCAAAATGGAACACATGGGTGGTTTTGGTGCCAGAGGGAATGGCGTGACAGTGATACCTTTCATGTCCTTCTCGCGCTCGTAGACGATAAATGCATAGCCTTGGTGGGGCTTCTTCTTCTTCTTGTCTGATACTGTGTCCTTGACAAGGGTGATCTGAAAGTCGAGATGTTAGCCTTTGTAATTGCCAAAGAAGAAATCCGCACACCAAACGTACTCTTTCAATGGGGCCAAAGCGGCCGAACTCTCGCTCCAGGTCGGATTCTTTGACATCATAGCTAAGGCGCGCAACAAAGAGAACCTTGTAGGGGTCGCCACGAGCATGCGGATCATTTTGGGGATCGACTGCGAGCGGGAAAACATTGTGTTAGTATCGTGGCATAGGAATCAATGAGCAAGAAAGAGAAAACATACAATTTTGCATCCCTTCTGTTAGTTGCTTTTGCTGGTTCTCTTTCTTCTCTGCATCCTGGCGCGCCTTGCGCTGCAGCCAGCTTTCAGTCGCATTGTATGGGACCTCTTCAGCGTAGGACTTGGCCTCAGCAAGATACTGGGCGACACCAGAGATGGTGCTTTTCTTGCAGTCCTCTGGGGCGGGATCGGTTGGAGCCAGATAACGAAGGGGGGGACGGGGTTGGAACAGCGCCAACAATGGCGGGGGAGCTTGTCAGTCATTCTCACTATAGACCTGGTGAGAACCAGATCAGGTGTGGGGGTGAAGCTGAAGTATGAAGAGTAAAGCCTCAGATCAGGAGTGTGAGCTTCGCGCTGGTCTTAGCGTGTAAGCTGACGCTGCAGCCGCTATTGGCGCCCACGCTCACCGCCCTGCGCAATCACGTGCCCTAGAAAATGCCCCGAGAACCACTGCGAATCGATCAACCACGAACAAGTGACGACGATAACAATGCCTGTGCGTGGAATCCGGACAGCGACGACGGCCCAGGTATGTGGACTTTGACTTTTCCATGCAACCTATTGAAGAACCCGGCTAACCCTCCTAGAATGGCGCCGGCGCCTTCATCTTACAATGCAAACGCCTTGATTTCCATTTCTGCAATTCGGGAGGTAGCTCAAGGGGCATGGTGTAAGTTTCGTTTGGACATCACGAATTATCATCTCAGGTTATTTGAAACTCACACAATGGACTTCACAGTGCCTTTTTGCAGAACAACCTCAAGTCTTTCGCCCGCCAAAACCCTCAGATCGAGATCCGGGTCTCTCCCCGACCACAAAAGCACCCCCTCATCAAAGGCCTCTACATCAACGGCCGCGAAAAGCCTGTCTGTGTACGGAACATGGAGCCCGGCGAGATCCTGAAGAAGGCAAATCTTCTCAAGGAGGCCAGTGGAGAGAAGTTGAAGCGGACCAAGAAGCCTGTCACAAGTTTGAACGAGAGTGTGCGTGGTATCTGGTCTCCATACCACGGCGATCTGCGTGGCGTATAGATCAAAGCGTTTTCTGTTTATGGTGTTCGTTGCCTTTCAGCGGTGGTGACTATCAGGTATCCCCACTGCAACATACTGTACTATTGACCTGGGTTCTCTTATATTTTCTTCATTCTTGTCTATTTGCTCGAAGCTTATGGTGTTCTGAACCCCATCTATTATGCATATCAAACTCAAGCCTGCATCAATCGGAGGACTACTAGTCTGTTTGAATGGTCACCTCATAGAATGGTTCGTGGTGTAGTGCCGATGAAATATACCAAGTGTTGTTTCTATATAACATTTGAAGAGGCAAGTCAAGTATCTATACATAATACTTAAGTTTACATGCAAGACAGTAAGTTTGCTAGGTAGAATTGCTAATAGACAAAGAAATATTTGATAGAAACATAAGTCCATGCGTGGCTGATGAAGATCAAAGTCCCATCTGAAAAAAATATAGTCCTGTTATAAGTTGAAGGAAAAAACGCCCGCCAGTTCCATGCATATTGGGTATCGACGGAATAAGAGTTGGCCCTAACACCATGCAAATGTGTGATCGCAGCAAACCAAAAAAGCAATAAGAGAGGGGAAAAACCATTGAGTATCAGAGGAAGAGATGGAATAAAGCAGTTGGACTGCTCAAAGATACCTCGCAGCCTGCAATCTGGCACTTGGAGAATGGCTTGGTCTGTGAAGTTGACTTTTTCGCCTTTGATTTCGACCGATTCTCAGCGCATTCGCCACAGTAAACCTGAAAGATGGTTAGTTTTTCAATGTTCGGTTGCAACATGAAATGGGTAATACGAACATGTCCGCATTTTCTGGAAACGTATATTTGCCCTTTGGATCCTTCTCCAACACCCAACTCCTCATGGCAGTTAGGGCAAATGGCCACATCATAATCCGATATCGTTCGAGTGAAGCCTTTCGGGGCCGGCTCTGGTGATTTGTATGACTCTTCTCGGGACGATGATCGTGTGGACCCTTCCTGAGGGCGCTGAGCGTCGAGTGAAGGATTTATTGGAAAGCCAGTGAGCCCATAGTCAAGCCCCACTGGCAGGAAGTCCCCGATAGACATGGGTCGGAACTCTTCCTCTTCAGCCCACCGACTCCTGTTGTACCAGTTTCTTGTTGGTCGCCTTTCAGCTGCCTCGGATCTCCCCGAGAGGCGACTCATGTGAGACCAGATGTCGTTGTAAGGTCTGGGTTCTAGCGGCCTGGGTCTGGTGGTAGCCCCAACAAACTGGACATCAGGGCTACTTGACGAGGCACCTGCGGGGTCGCTGGTAGGCTCGGCGTCCACATCGATCACATCATGCGCATTCGTCTGAGGAATATGAAGTATATCCTGAGGAAACCGCAAGCTCGTCCGGGGTTGGGTTGGCGAGGGTAAAGTGAGGTCCACTGATCGACTTTGAGGAGGACTTTCAGATTCACGTGTCAAGTCAACTACCTCTGGGTCGTTTGAGGATCTGACCGGACGCCGGTAGTCGTATCCATCTCCGCGAAAGCGTGGCAAGCTGATGGATTGATTCTGAGGACGATCTCGAGGGGGATGAAAGTGTTGATCCCAGACGGCACGGGTAGTGCCGTCGGATTCTTCGGACATTTCGTGATACGTTCGCTGGAAGAAGGATCATGCATGTTAGCAGAGCGTCTTGCCTGATCTGTTTCCCCGCCCGTTTCAAGACTGATGAAAGCGTACCTTAGGGCCGTTAGGCAAAAATGGGAGGCTTGGACTGCCACTCATGCCAAATCCTATGCTCCGGGGCAAGGTTATGGGACGAGGAGCATATAGTATCCCCAGACGAGGTGGTGGCGGCATCTGAATGGCATCCATCTTTGTTTCGATGCTCGAGTCTCCGGGCGGTCTCATTTTGCCGGCTAAATAGGGCGGTGGGGATATCAGTGGCGGTTGCGAGGAAGATCGTCAGATCTGCTGGCGAGTTGGCATTTATATATCGCGGTCCTGGGTGTGGGACCTATATATTAGCAATAAAGTTATGAGTTATCAGGCGAAAGGAGTGTTCATCTCATTCAGTACTGATCTGATTGAGTGATCGTATGTCACTCTGTTTCGGCAACGGCCTCATGTCTCACGGGTGCCAGCACAAGCTTGTCTGGAGGTTACCTGACTTTTGTTCTTCTTTTCGTAATAAAGACTGCAGGAAATTGGAAACAAAACACCATTTGAGGATTCAAAGATAACCAGCTTTAAATTACACACTATTTTCCCGATCATGACTGTGCCGCCAACACTGTGACTGCGCCCGCCTCATTCAATGCTACAATGCTCTGAGCAGCTGATCCCCACGCCACAGAAGTAGCAGGAACAGCGCTCCGCAAGGGCTCTGACCACGCCTTGGAAGCCTTGGTAAATTGCTGGACGGTGACTCCGCTGGGTCCACCAGTCAAGAGATATTGACCAGTGTAATCCCAGAAGATAGAGCTGATCTGGCTGCCAGTCTCCAATACCTTGGTTTCCTTGGAGCTGCGCAGATCCCAGATCGAGACCGTAGTAGATTTGTCGGCCACCGCGGCCAGGAAAGTACCATTCTCAGAGAAGAACAAACACTTGACTGGGCCTGACATCGCGTAGTTTGCGGCTGCGGCACCGGTCTTAACGTCGAAGATCTTGACTTGTCCATCTGCACCACCAGCGGCGATCAAATGGCCATCTGGGTGGAAGTTGACAGACAACAAAGCTAAACCAAACCGTTAGCATTCTATTTCGATATAAAGGTTTGCAGGACAAATGCTTACCTGCGTCAGTGAAGATTTGGGAAGCCACGGTGTTGGTAGCCAGGTCGTAGAGGACATAGCTCTTGTCAACACCGACAGAGGCAACAATATCACCAGTAGCATGCACAGTCACACCTGTAACCTCGCCAGCGTGAGAGTTGAAGCTAGCGACTTCAGCCCCATTCTCAAAGACCTTAACAGACCCGGTTGACGATCCAACAACTGCCTTGTCGCCGGCCCAAGTCACATCGGTGACGGGACCATCTGTCTTCAAAGTCTGCACCACACTCTTCTGAGAAAGGGAGTAGACACCAACCACACCATCAACACCACCAATAAGAGCCAAATCACCGGTCGAGTTGACAGACAGAGCGCGGCCACCGGGGTAAAGGGGGTCGGAGGACTCAGTTGGCTTGAATGTGGAAATAGCCTCAGCTGACGCCCAGCCCTCGGGGACTGCACGCTTGCGCCGAGTCTTAGAAAGCCTGTAGATATGTTAGCTGAGATCACATAGGATGGAACCATTGAGTCCACGTACGCTGCCTGTGTGTTCTCAACCCGTTCCAGCACCGCCTGGGGCAAGCCTGTAGAGTCGACCTGCATAGCATCACCAGCGCCCGCGGACCTAGTAGCGCCGACGGATATGTTCGAAAGTGCCTCGCGGGCATCGTCTCTCTCCTTTGTCAACCGCGCGATCACTCGCACTGCGGCATCATGCTGATAGAGCGCGGAGCTAAGCTCGCGCCTCGTCTGTGCCAGGTTTTGCTGTAGAGTATATGTTTCAAGAGCGAGAGCGTCCCATTCCTCCTGGAAGACACTGAGGAGAGACGGGATGGAGGTAAGGGTGGGAGGTCGGGGCCGGACAACGCGCTGCGACTTGACATCGACCAGGTCGTCGGTGCTGAGTTCTTCGCCGTTCACGGGATCTTTGCCATGTTCGGCAATGTATGCCTCAATAAGACGCTTTTCAAAAACGCTGCCTGTTTAATTATCAGATGTGGTGTGCGCGCAAGGCGATTCGAAGAACTTACCGCTCTTGGAAGAGACGACGGGAACTTGAGGTGCCTCTCCAGAGACTGCGATGAATCTCAATTAGCGAATTGGTTCAATTATGACAACACAAGGGAAATGGATCATAGACCACTCACTAGCACAAAGCATGGTTAATTGGGGTGGGTTCAAAAAGGTGGTTGGTGAGGACTTGACGCGAGCAGGCTCCTTCGGGACTTTTCTATGTGTCCCATTTGGGTTTAGCGCCTAGAGCTGTTAACGGTGCTCGACTCGCAACTTGGACTCTTCTCTTCTTTGTGAGATCTATATATTCTATATATTTTTGTCGGAATGTATATTTGCTAATGATTTACTGAATCGGCTGAAGGGAGCAGAAAGCTTCAGAAAACCGCTACAGATTAACCGCTGCAAACGTTGACTACATCCCACCATGTCTAAGAACCCCAAGTTTGAATATGGTACGTCGCTCAAATGTTCTAGTAGGCCTTTCTAATATATTATCTAGATGCGAAGGAGCCCGCATTCCTCCAAAAGCTTCGGGGCCAATATGGCAGCAACACCGGTCGCTTAGAACGGCCGGCCGTACGAGCGACCAGACTCAAGGTCAACAAAGATGACGATGACGATGAACCCACCTATGTCGACGAAGAAAGCAATGAAGTGATCTCCAAGGAGGAATACAAGACCCTGGTGCGCGAGACCGGCCAAACAGAAGAGGACAAGAATACCCCGAAGGACAAACCCGCAGGGGACGACGACAAAGCAGAACCTACCAGCAAACAGAGCAATCTGACTGAGATTGGAGGTCAGAGGAAACGAAAGCAGGCTAAAGTCGTGGGCGAAGAAAGGACAGAGAGCGAAGACAAGAAGATCGAGACTGAAGAAGCTCAACCCAAGGCGGCCACCAAGAAGGCAAAGAAGCCCAAGAAAATCAAGCTCTCCTTCGATGAGGAGTGAAATCCAAACGGGAAATACATACAAGATCTTTCACTTAGCAGATTGAAGGCCGCCGACGCATGGTGGACTCAGCGCATGCCTTCGAAGACTCATAGTGAGTCAACGCAACATTGGTTGCATAGCGTCATAGGTCGCCAAACAGCTTATTAGGCCGACCACAGAGTAATAGCGAGAATATTCGAGCTGATGTAAATATAGAGTTACTTTTATCTAATACTGTCGCCTTGTAAATTAAATACTTGTGGCAGACCTGGTCCATCACATACTGTCTCCATTTATCAGCAACTTTTTTTCTTCGGATCCAGTCGCCTTCCCGGCTCTTCCTCTCCAAACATTCAGCACTTGGACAGACTCAGTCAAGATGCCTGTGGTTAATGTCGACCAGCTAGTCCGCCTGCAACGGAAGCCCGAAGACATAAGAAATGTGCGTGCCCCTCCATCCCACTCTGATGTCAGGCTTTATACTAACTCCAACCAGATTTGCATTTTGGCCCACGTCGTAAGTAAAGGCGTCCAAATAACAAAATCGTGTACGGGCATGTTCTCGAAATACTCACAGTCGTCTTTTTGTCGTTTAGGACCATGGAAAGACATCGTTGACAGATAGTCTTATAGCCACCAATGGCATTATTTCACCTAAGCTAGCGGGCAAGATCCGCTACCTGGACTCTCGCCCAGATGAGCAGCTGCGAGGCATCACAATGGAATCTTCAGCCATCTCATTGTTCTTCTCAATGCTCCGTCGCCCAGCGCCAGACGCAGCACCGGTGCCCAAAGAGTATCTGATCAATTTGATCGATTCACCGGGACATATCGATTTCAGCAGTGAGGTCTCAACGGCGTCGCGTCTTTGTGATGGTGCTGTTGTTCTCGTTGATGCAGTCGAGGGCGTGTGCAGTCAGACTGTGACTGTGCTGCGCCAAACCTGGGTTGAGCAGCTCAAGCCAATCCTTGTTATCAACAAGATGGATCGTCTGATCACGGAATTGATGATGAGCCCCGCCGAGGCATTTTCCCATCTTAGTCGACTGCTTGAACAAGTTAATGCCGTTATTGGTAGCTTCTACCAAGGTGAGCGCATGGAAGACGATTTACAGTGGCGTGAGCGTATGGAAGATCGCATCAATACTTCTGCCACTCGAGATCAAGACCGCAAAAAGCAATCGGCAGATGAAGACGCCGCTCAAAGCATTACGGAGGCGACAGAATTTGAGGAGCGCGACGATGAGGATCTCTACTTTGCCCCCGAGAAGAATAACGTCATCTTCTGCAGTGCTGTTGATGGCTGGGCTTTCACCATTAGGCAATTCGCTGCCATCTACGAGAAGAAGCTCGGAATCAAACGAACTGTCTTGGAGAAGGTCCTCTGGGGTGATTATTACCTGGACCCCAAAACCAAACGTGTTTTGGGCCAAAAGCACTTGAAGGGCAGAGCATTAAAGCCAATGTTCGTTCAATTGGTGCTTGATAGCATCTGGGCAGCATATGAAGCCACCACGGGCGGCGGAAAGGGCAAAGGGTAAGTTGATAGCCTCGTAATCTTCTTATTGTATCAATACTCACTGTGAATAGAGACCCAGTCCTGCTAGAAAAGATCACCAAATCTCTAAACATCAACATCCCACCATATGTTTTGCGCTCTCGTGACCCCAAGAACATAATGACTACGTTGTTCTCCCAGTGGTTGCCTCTATCCACTGCTTTGCTTGTGTCCGTCATTGAATACCTCCCAAGTCCGCCGGCTGCACAGGCTGCCCGACTGCCAGAAATGATCAAAGCATCACCTGGCTCAGAATTCATCAGCAATGATATCAAAAACGCCATGGTCGATTTCAAGACAGGCCCCGAGGAGCCCGTCGTAGCATACGTCAGCAAAATGGTCGCAATCCCCGAAAGCGAGCTTATGTCAAGCAAAAAGCGAAGCGGAGGTGCCATGACTGCTGACGAAGCCCTTGAAATCGCTCGTCGCAAGCGCGAGGAGATTGCGAAGATGCAGGCGGAGGCCAAGGAGAAACAAACCGATGAGTTCGAGCGCATGACTACAATTTTCCAAAATACCTCGTTGATCACCGAGACAACTGACGAGCCGGAGGAACCAGAGGAGAAGGAGGACCCAGACCATCTTATTGGCTTTGCCCGCCTTTACTCAGGAACCATCTCTGTCGGAGATGAAATCTACGTACTGCCGCCCAAGTTCTCACCAGCCAACCCGCATGCAAGTCCCGAGCCGAAAAAGGTGACTGTCACAGACTTGTACCTGCTCATGGGTCGAGCCCTTGAACCCCTCCAGTCTGTGCCAGCCGGTGTTGTCTTCGGTATTGGTGGCCTTGCCGGGTACGTGCTCAAGACTGGCACGCTCTGCAGCCGACTGGATGGAAGTATCAACTTGGCCGGAGTGTCGCTCAACACTCCGCCCATCGTTCGTGTTGCGTTGGAGCCTGTCAACCCAGCCGATCTCGGTAAAATGGTTACTGGCCTGCGCCTGCTTGAACAAAGTGATCCCTGTGCCCAGTACGAGCAGCTTCCCAGTGGTGAACACGTTATTCTCACTGCAGGCGAACTGCATCTGGAGCGTTGCGTGACAGATCTCCGAGAGCGGTTCGCCCGCTGCGAGATCCAAACTGGTGAGGCTATCGTCCCTTACCGGGAGACCATCGTTTACGGTCCTGAGATGGCCGCACCTAAGAACCCCGAGCTTGGCCGTGGAGGTGTCTTGTCGGTTTCCGCTTCCAAGCAGATGACGCTTCGTCTGCGTGTTGTACCTATGCCTGAAGCCGTCACAGAATACTTGAGCAAGAATGTCGGAACTATCAAGCAACTTCAGTTGGAGAAGCGCTCTGAAGCTGAGGGCAAGGCTGATACCGAGGCTGCAGTCGAAGCGCAAGAGTCAGCCGCTGTCGATGGCTCCGGCGAGTCGCACGAGGGCACTATTCTCTCCAAGCAAAAGTTCCGCGAGGGACTAGAGAAGGTATTCAACGACGAAGCCAAAGAAGACAAGGAGCTATGGAAGAACGTCGTCGACCGGATCACAGCATTCGGACCTCGCAGAGTCGGCCCTAACATTCTAGTCGACGCAACAGCAGTCAACACCTGTGAGAAATTGTAAGTGCACCAAGAAGCAAACCCGCCATGTCTACCATTGGTCCAAATCTAACAAACCCTCTTCCCAGCCTGATCGACGACCCCAAGCAACAAATCGCCGGTGACAACCAGCAAGCCCTCCTAGTCCGCGACTTCAACGACAAGATCGCCTACGCCTTCCAACTGGCAACAGGTCAAGGTCCCCTATGCCAGGAACCAATGCAAGGCGCCGCCGTCTTCCTAGAAGACCTATCTGTCCAAGCCAACAGCAACGACGAGCTAGATATGGGGCGCCTAACAGGCGAAGCAATCCGACTCGTCCGCGAAGGGATCTCTGCCGGATTCCTAGACTGGAGTCCTCGGATCATGCTCGCAATGTACAGCTGCGAGATCCAAGCAACCAGTAAGCCTTCCTCATTTCCAATCCGTAACCCATACACTTAACCCCCAAACTAACACTCAACCCCACCAAAAGCCGAAGTCCTCGGGCGCGTCTATGGCGTAATAACCCGCCGCCGAGGCCGAATCCTCTCAGAAGTAATGAAAGAAGGAACACCGTTCTTCACAATCCTGGCCCTGCTGCCAGTAGCAGAATCCTTCGGATTCGCCGAAGAAATCCGCAAACGTACATCCGGCGTCGCGCAGCCGCAACTTATCTTTGCAGGCTTTGAAGCGCTTGATGAGGATCCGTTCTGGGTTCCTGCTACTGAGGAGGAACTTGAGGATCTGGGTGAGCTTGCTGATCGGGAGAACGTTGCTAAGCGGTATATGGATGCTGTGAGGACTCGGAAGGGTCTTGTTGTTCAGGGGAGGAAGCTGATTGATGCTGAGAAGCAGAAGACTTTGAAGAAGTAGATTGTTGATGTTGATTTGGGAAGATGGGTATAAAATCGATATTTATTGCATTGTACTGTATGTTGCTTTTCATTCTCATTTTATGGTATTTGAATTGTGAGTATGATGTTGGTAGTTGACATGGTTGATATTGGCATTTTATATCTGGTGGCCATCTAGCAGTATCTTAAGAGATATATGTCACTCCGACAAGCCCTCTGTCAAGTCTCACCGGGTAGATCTAGACACGAGACAAGAAACTAGGAGCATCACAGATGGTGGGAGCCATCTGCGTATTCTTCGAATGATGAACTTCAATCTCCTTCTTTTGACAAACACAGCCCAACATGGATCAGGTCTCGGCTGTGTATACTAAGGAGGATAGTAAGATCTACTACTGGGCAAAGGAAGCAGGGTTGCCATGATGTTAGTTACTTTCGGTGAAGGGGCGAGGAGAGAAAATTGGCGGAAACGGTTTGCATTGTATTCTGAAATCATGAGTCCGCGGGGTATCTTCATTTTGAAATCGTTATTGATATCAATATCCTGTACAAGGGGGTGTGTCCGAGTCAGCTCAAGGAACAGGTGACCTTGAGCTCCTAGACCTTGTTGGGGTTTGATTAGATGCCTCGCTTGAGAGCATAGAACAAGCATCTGAGCTTGAACAACGTTGCTCGCAGAGGTGTCTCTCGAAGAGTAGTCTCCTCGATATCCATTGGTTCTGGAGCATGCGAGGAGCAGATGCTCTCATGGGTAAATCAGACTGCCCAGGGCATCTAGACAGATCAGGACGAAGTCTGCTTGGGTGTTGCAGGCAGTAGTCATTTCTCAGCAGCGAAAAGCAGACAGAAAGGGCAGCTCAAGCCAAAGCCGCCGCAATCGAAGTTTAAATTCGAATTCCAAACCCAATGCCCTCAAAAAGGCCTAGCAACCTTCCTCAACTCCCCAGTTCCACTAACCGGATCCCTCATCTCCTTCCAGCTAACGGGGAACATCATATTGCCGGCCTCACTGCGCGCCATAACAACACCAAGATCATTGCGCGCGGTAGTAAGATAGAAGAAAGTCTGGTCACCGAGCGAGATCACCGAGCCACGAACAATATCACCAACACGGAACATCTCATCCATAACCACGCGATCCTTCTCGACAGCGCGCACGTCCTCCTTCCGGATTAACGCTTGGAACCGCAGTTCGTCGGTGTTGCTGTGGTTCTCTGGGTTGGCGGCGTGGGTGAGGATAGCAGCGACGTTGTCGTTGTCGGAGGGTGTGCGGTTTGGATCTTGTGTTGTGTCTTCTGTCACAACTAGGATTGAGACTGTTGCTTGACGCTTTTGCACGCGGGTTACTCGTGCCAGGACGATTGAATCGACTGCTGGGAGGGTATTGTAGCGGGGTTTGGTGGTTGGCGCTGCTGCTGCGGCGGGTGTGTTCTTTGTAGGTAGAGTTCGGGAGACTCTGAGGGTTGGTTTCGTGTGGGTCTTTGGTTGAGCTGTGTCTGAGACTACCGGTCCGGCGATGGAGGCGTAGATGAAGGATTGTTGGATGTGCGTGCCTGGTCCGGCTGAGTATGCAGAAACGGGACCGAGGCGTTGCCCGGGGATGGCGATGGGTGGGAGAGAAGCCATTGTTAAGGTGTAGTTGATGTTGAGGGGAGGTCTGGAGTTGGAGAGAGGATCGGTGATTTTTTTGGGGAGCTCCCACTCGGCCCGGGAGTAGGTTTGTCCGCAGCTATCAATACCCACTTAACTACGATATTTGGACTATGAATTGAAACCAATTCCGTCTCGCAGGCAATTAATTTATAGAGCCCATATCTAGCACGAATACACGGTGTATGCGGAATAGGAAGGACAGGGGCACCGGCCCAGAAATACGATGGACATGTAAGAAACAAAAAAAGAGTCCACAATCCAAATGCCCGCTGAGAAGGAGTAACCCGAGTCAAATGAATTCGATGCCCATAAAACACCCAGTGGCGGGGAAAGAAAGCAGGCCAAATTGAAGATTGGCTGAACAGAAAGGACCGGAGAAATTGGCGCGCACAGGGGAGATTAGACAAAGGACAAATAGACAAAATAGAGAGGTTAAGCTTCCACCAGGGTCTGCTTAGGACCTGCTCCTAGCAGCTCGAGGCAGCGACGGGCGAGGGTGATCACTTCGCCTTCGCCGTCATCCACTTCCTCCTCGTCGGACTCAATGTTCTTGTCTGAAATCGACTTGACCATCTGTACGATGTCTTCAGATCGTGAAATGTGTCCGATGAGTTTCTTATCTTCAGACTCGAGGAGTTGGAGAAGGGTCCAGATGGCAATGTGTTGGAATGTTGGATCACCACTGGCAAGGAAACGGTAAAGGTAGCCGTGGATTCCACCATTGGAATCTGCCCAATCGCGAACGAACATGGAATAATCGCCGACTATATTTCATTAGCACTCCCATGGGGAAATTCAGGTGTGAGAGGAAACATACCCTTGGATGAAAGGTTGCCCAGAGCAGCAGCACTGTTGCCTTGGACCTCAATGCTATCAGAGTTGGTCAGAGGAATGAGGACGTCGAAGACCCCGAGGTTGAGAAGGTGTGGCTTCAGCTCCTCGCTGAGGGCCAGCACAGCGATCGCAGCGGTCATCTCAGACTGTACAGTGAGAGGAACCCGAAGGACCAAGTCCTTGCACTTCTGGACAGCTCCCGCTTGCAAGACGAGTTCTTTGTTGCGATCGGAGCTTGCAGCAAGGTTACGGAGCGTAGAGATAGCGTGACATTGAATCTCTTCGTTGTCAGTTGAACCAAGCAGATCCACCAATGGCTTCAAAAAGCCTGCTTCAATAATTGGAGATTCGTTGAGAGGATGAATGGATATATTGCGAATACAAGCGACGGCGGATAGGATGAGAGGAAGGTAGGAAGATTGAAGGAGTCGCAACAGTGGGGAGAGACCCTTTGCGCGGACAATCTCAAGCTGGTATTTCTCGTCGGAGGCGAGGTTTCGGAGAGCGAGCGCAGCTTGACATTGCACTTTCGGGGTCGAAGAATCCATGAGATGAACCAATGATTGTACCAAGCGCGACTCAGTCTGAGCTAAGCGTTTCCGGTTGGTCGAATCAACGGCAATGTTGCTGAGAGCTGTTGTGCAATAGTACTGGACGTCGACATCGGGGGAAGATAGCAGATGGACGAGCACGGGAATGGCGCCGGCATTGACGAGTTGTTGGCGATTGTCATCTGGTCATGTTAGAGATTAGGTCCATATTGGGAGAAAACCGAGTCACCTACCGGAATGGGTCATATTCAGTAATGCGCCCGTCGCATTGCGCTGTACACGCATATCTTTGGATTTGGCCAGCCGGATCAGAGGACCGAGAGCGCCGGAGCGAGCAATCTTGGCCTTATTCTCTTCATGTGTCGCAAGATTCGTGATACATCCGACAGCATTGCATTGCACCTCGACGTTGGGCGACATCATCTGTCGAATCAGGGGAGCCAGCCCCCGAGGGCGACAATCAAGACTTTGTTTTCCGCTATACCTAGTAAGCAATCGGAGGCGAGATTGAAAATGAGGGTAGGGAACCAACCATTGACGGCGAGGTTACCCAGCGCTGCACTGGCCGCTCGTTGTACTTCGATATCGGAGCTCTGAAGGAGGAATAGTATCGGCTCGAGAGTATCGCTGTCGACCTCGCGGACATCTGGGGAATGTCAGATATTGCATCATCGCCATTCGCCCCAAGATACGTACCTCGTTCAGTAATCTCGGCAAAGGTCAGACTGGCGCTTCGTTGCAAGTCGACATTCTCAGAGTAAACCAGCGTACTCAATGCCCGTAGAGGCTCGCCGTCAAAGAAGTCGGTCTCTGCGCGCTGTAGGTCAAAGTCAGTAATGTGCATGTGGCAAGGGCAAGGGCAAGGGCGCGGTCGCCATCACAGGCAAACCCGACTCGACGCGAGTCCAGAGAGGTCGCACGTACGTTCTCCAAGTAGCCGAGCAGGTCTGAGACAGCTTCTCGCTCATTATCGGCCAAGGTCGTCTCGTAGATCCCATCTCGCGACCGACCACCGATCGGACCGAGACAGGCTGTGATATGGCACCATCGGTCCACCGCCGACAGGCACGATAGACAGGCGGTTGCGATTCCACTCATGCCTAACAGGCCCGCATCAGGGCCGAAACGAGTCTCGAGGGCAAGAGCGGGAGGGGAAGGTGAAAATAGATGGTGAGTTGTGTAAAGCCGAAGCTTTTATTAGGGAGCACAAGGGCGGCGCGTGATAAAAGGAAAATGGCGAAGAGAGTTGGAGGTGTCGAGGTAGAAAGATAGGGAGGGGAGGTTTAGCTCCGCCGAGAGATGGCTGGTAACAACTTGATGGTTCTTCTTTCCTGCAATGCAATTCTTAAGTTCTCAAGTTCAAGTTCAAGTTCAAGTTCAAGTTAAGTCAAGTCAAGTCAAGTCAAGTCAAGCCAAGTTCAGCAACCTTCATGTGTTCTGCGAGCTTAAGCTCCGATCGAAGCTGTCCACGCTGACCAATGGTCCGTTTACGTCAACACCTGCACCTCCAGGGCTGCACCTCTACTCTCTTCTCTACTCTATACCTACACTCTCCCTGTCTAACTCTATACTTTCTCTATTCTCTCTCTCCCCCTATATACTAAATTCCATCCCAGGGTCCGTGCACACTTCTTGTGATGAAGTTCAAGTGACGCAGAAGATCACCAGACTGGCGATCTCTCAAGGGGGTCAACTGCTCTTTCACATGAGAGATACATGTATATCTCTCTCACTTGATATCTCACTAGAACTCAGCAGATACGCAGTCGATCCGCCAGCAGATGTCTCTTTCAACACTTTCACCTTCCTGTTTCCTTATAGACCTAAAATATCAATATCATGCTTGTCCCGCTTCCATCGGCTAATCCTGCTGACCATATCCTGTGGCGCAAAGAGGCAATCTGCGGCTACTTCCCCGCAAAAGAGAGGCAAATCAAAGTGATGAAAAGAAGTAGAAGTAGATATTCCGGTGTAGAGACGAAGAATGCGATCAGCCAACTCCACTTAGGACCCAGGACGGCTGGTAACATCATATAACCAACTGAACCAGACTTTTCACGCTTTCTTCTTTCTTTTCTTTTTTAACTGGACTTTTCATTCTCTGATTCCTCTCCATTTCTCCTCCATCATATGATGTCTTACCATTCTTGCTTTTAATCCTCGTGACGTTCGAGTTTCTTTGAATCCTGATCGTCTCTTGGCTTCGATTTAGACTATTCCCACCCCCCGATTCTGATTTCCTCCCACCATGTCAGTCACCGCCTTCACTTGCCTCCCCGACCCTCGCCCCAGTCGCCTGAATCGTATCGGCCAACTGCGAAACTACACGCAAAATCGCAGTTTGAGCAGTCGATTCCCCTGGCGTTCGTCGACCTCTGGGCCCAACTCGCCGAACCCGGTGGAGAACTCGAACGCGGGCTCCACTCCGTGCCCAGATACCGATCACCCAGCCCTCTCGCGGTACACATCGGCGCCCTCTGAAAGTTCAGGCTTTGGCGACCTTACCAGTCGCGTCTCCTCTGCTGATTCCGCGGTTTCGACTCAGTCCAACGAAGCCCCTCAGACAACAGCCCATGTCATGGCTCGGCTGAGGAGCGCTTCAGCCGCACAGCACCCGCCACCGCGCACACAAGATCGACAAAACTCTGAATCTAGTGCATCCCCTGAGCCGAATTCCCTGCAAACCGATGGAATCGCGCCAACCAGCGTCCCCGAGGACTCGATGACCTCGCCGAAACCAGACAAGAAGGCGACCATTCGTTTCTTCCCTTATCAGGATTCCCACGCGAGTACCAGCACGAGACCGTCACTACCCTTTGTTCCTGTCGCCCGTACCCTGCCGTCTGAAAGCTGTGTGATTCGAGTGGGTCGATACTCAGAACGCGATGGTATTCCCGTCCCTAACCCCACCGAACCCTCGGATGCCCCTGTGGGCTTCAAGTCCAAGGTAGTGAGCCGGAAACACTGCGAGTTCTTGTACGTCAATGGACAGTGGCATATCAAGGATGTGGGGAGCTCGTCGGGCACGTTTTTGAACCATATGCGCCTAAGCCAGCCCAATATGGTCTCCCGTCTGTATTCGATCAAAGACGGGGATATTGTCCAACTGGGTATTGATTTCCGTGGTGGGGAAGAGATGATCTTCCGATGTGTTCGCATTCGCATCGAGTGCAACCGATCATGGCAACAGCAGCCTAACGAGTTCAAGTAAGATGACTCCCCGGCTGTAGTGTATATGATGCTAACGCAAACTCCAGCAAAAATACAGAAAGCCTGATCAAAAACTTGGGTAAAGGCGAGACAGCCGATTACTCGGGATGTCGGGAGTGTTCTATCTGCCTGGGATCTGTTCTGGTTTGTTTTCCTTCCTTTTCTCCATCTGTTCCGCCACTAACCTTTTCATAGCGCCCCTACCAATGTTTGTTCATGGCAGCCTGCGCACATGTGTGGCATTACAAATGTATCAGCCGACTGCTCCACTCGCCTGACTATCCTATGTTCCAATGCCCCAATTGTCGTGCATTCACCGATCTCAGCGCAGAGGTAGACGACTCCAATGACCTCGAAGACAAGCGCGAGAAGGAGTCAGCAACAGCACATCAGCAACAAGAAGAAGAACCACAACATGGTCCCACCGAGCAGATACAACCAGAGGTATCATCGGAAAGCCAAAACATCCCATCAACAAATGACGTGGATCAGCCTGAAGACCAACTGGGAGATGTCACCGAAGAAGAAAACCTACCAAATGATACTGAAGAAGCTAGCCTATCAAATGACGCCCAAGAAGCTAGCCTATCAAATGGTGCGGGAGGCTTGCTCATCCATCACGACCAATTGGGAAGTTTCATCGAAGAAGATAGCCTAGCAAGTGGCCTGGAGCACCTGCTCATTCAAGAATACCTGCGAACTGATACCCGCTCCGACGACGCACAAAGCACCGGCTCACCAGCTCCCGATTCCAGCAACACCGACCTCGCACGCAGCGCCACAATCAGCATGCCCGGCTGGCAACCCAGCCAACCCCTCAGCATACCGCCAGACAGGCAAGCTCAATTGCGGTCGGACACCCCAGGGCGCTCAGAGACATCAGACGATAACCCGCTGACACCGCGCAACGACTCCGGCCCCCTCGCCTTCGACGGAAGAGCTGGAATGCCTTAGTGTCACCTGTCATACATTCACTTCTACTTTTACACCGCACTGTTCTGGAACATGTGATCTGGTCAGCATCAGTATATACCTATATATTTTGGCATTCTGTGGTTTTTTGCGTCCATTTATGTTATGCATTTGATGATTTTCTTTACCCTTTACTTTCTGTTTGTGGCGCTGCTTGGTTCAGCTCTACACATCTACATCCCCTCACTATTTTGCATTTTCCTTCCATTTCTCTTCTACGTCCCCCTCTTCTTCCTTATTCATCAATTGGTATGACCAGCTGGTGCTCTCCTGTCCGTCGACATATGGTTAATAGTTTTCTTGTCTGTCTATACCCATGCAGCAGTTTGGACTGTTGTTTCTGGAGCGTAGGAATTTGATGATTCATTTTTGGATATTCCATTTATACGTAGATCTTTTCGACAATGGTAAAGAGAAAGAGACACCATGCATCGAGTTCTTAGTGTGATTTGACGCCCAAAGGCTCACAGTAGAGAGCGTAATATTTTGCAACGTCTGTCTTAATCGGATCACACACAAGAACGATGTCCCTTTCGAGTTAACGACAGACCAACTTCTATCTAGACACCTTGTCCCTGCCCTCGAATATTACAGCATCCTTCTCTGTATTTCCCTCATTGGAACGAGGCTTGAACTCTGATCGAAGTGATTTTATTCATTGATGTCAATTTAAAAATAAAATAAGCATCCGCGCTCAACCCTGGAACCAGACTGAGCTAGTTGAGACTGCAAGAATCAACAAGCACTTTAACTTAACTAATGTATCCCACGAACAAGTTTCATAAACACAAAGATGTCCTCTATACAAGCTACCGATATATATTGTACCATGCTACACCACACAAATTTCAGATTCCCGCCTAGCCCTATAATCCAACAATCGTCCAGTAACACTAACCCCGTTCCACAACTCCCTATCATATTTACGACTCATCACCGGCATTCCTACCTGCTCCAACGCAAACGATGCAGCAACAGACCCGTAAGAAGCTGCCTCGACTACATCACCCCCGGTATGAATCCATCCAACGGAAAATGCTCCCAAGAAAGCATTCCCAGCTCCAGTCGGATCAACAACGTTAGAAGCCTGCTCTTCTTCGATTTTTGTCTCATAAAACGGAGGAATCCACTTCCGAGCAAGGCCGCGCGATTGAACGAGACAGCCATTTTCACCAGCTCGAATAACCACTACGCCGTTTCCTTCGGAACCGACGCCACTGTCTAAGATTTTCAAAGCTAATCTCTCGATCTCGAATTTATCAGGGGAAATGGGAGAATCCTGGAAAAGGCGCGCCAGCTCTATGTGGTTTGGACTGAACACGTCCACTAAAGCTGCAACCTCTAGACACGTTTGGAGGGTTTCTGCCTTACATGCCAGTGGTGCAGGCTCCCAGATTACTAAAGGTCGGTCTTGGATACCGACCTGTGTTCGAAGAGCGAGGATGTTTGATATGCGTGTTTTCATATCTTCCGGGGTGGCGAGGTAGTGGTATACTTTTGAAGACAGAAGCTCAGTGCTTTCATATTCCTGCATTGTGAGAACTGGTGTGGTATATTTAAATTTCTTGGCTGGAAAATGAGTTAGCTCATTCCATATGTTATGCAGAGGGCGAATGAAAAGGGGTTCCTTTCGTACGTCCGAATGTGGTATCTTGATACTCCAGTAACCCTCGAGTCGAGGGTTGATCTGATGCTTGTTTAACAACCAACTGTGTATCCCAGCTCTGCAAGAGTTTTGTAATGGGTTCTGGGAAGTCATTTCCAATATTGATTGGCCAGACTATTGAGCGGCTCTGCGGAGAAGGGAGAAATAATCGAGCACCCAGAGTCGCTAGAGGAATGTTAGGAATTCGGCTGTCCTCGAGAAGGTATAGATAGGTAAGTAGGTAAAACAAACCGTAAGCTCCAGACCCTCCTAGTACATTTGTTAAAGGTTTCCGATTAGGAAACCGAATCTCGTCGAGGACCACCAAGCCAAAGCTTGCGAAAGAGATATCGTCATCCATGGGAGAATGTTATCCTTTTGGATGACTACCTATCTCACGTAGGATCCAGTTCGTTAAAGTCATATAGTTATCAAACTGAGTGGTACTCCGTACATGTAAAGAGAAAGAGGCGGGGGAAACGGCGTATTTTGCTCGGTGGCTCAGTTCCGCTGGGCGAATCAAATCGCTCAGATGGCATGCGCTTCAATAAGCTTCATTTGGAATAACAATGCTTCTAAGCTTGGTGCTAGTTCGAGAGATTTGAAACAGCGTGGCCGTTTCACTGTTCAGAACAAGGCTTAAAGGTGAGAAGTTGGGTGGCTTTATTTTCATGTTTAGATATAGCTTTGTTGACTGGTAAACATTTATAAATAACAAGCCAACGTTGCAGTAGACAAGAGCTTGAATTAGAAAGTAGCTTTAGTAGTAAGAGAAATGTCTATCTCTGTGTATCTCCATAATCAGACCACTTCATACGCATATTAACATGCAATGTTTCGTCATGGCGCAAGCTGCAGCAGACCGCCAGGACACCCAGACTGGCAAGATCGCCGGGATCCCCACTCTGCAAAAGACTCAACTTTCTCTGTTCATGTCAACCAGCTCTGAATCATCTTAATCATGTTTATCTCAGTGCTTTGATCAAGTTTCACGACAAGAAAGGGGCTGCCACGAGATAGGGGCTTGAAGCGCCACATCAACAAATAGGGTCACCATCTTATCAAAGGCTGCACCTTCAGATCAGCTTGGTTTCAATCGAAATATCCATACAAAATGAGGCTGAATTTCAGCGAGCCACCAACTCCGACCTTGAGTCGTCAAAACACCACCGTTTTCGGCCATCACCAACGGCGCAGCACCCATCCTCACCGACTGTCCTCACGCGCAAAGCCAAGACGGTGCGATAACTGATCCTCATTATTCTACCATTTAGTCGCGCTTTCTAACATTTAGCAGATGGCCACTAGTATTCAGATTCATCAAAGGAGCAATCCACGGGGCAATCCTATTCCCCGTCTTTTTACATGCAGTATTCACTGCCTTGATCGTGTATCTAGACACCTATGTCTTCGACACAGTTGGTCTACCTAGCACGATCGTAAGTCCAACCCAAAAGCCAAACCCTTCGAACAAAAATCACTAAAACAAACCTCCAGATTCCCTCCCTGTCAATAGTAGTAGGCCTAATGCTCGTCTTCCGCAACCAAACATCCTACAACCGCTTCTGGGACGGACGCAACGGAATGAACGCACTAAACACCTGCGTCCGCAACCTAGTACGTACAATCGCAACAAACAGCTACAGCTCCAAGCGCGGGCCCCCAACTGCCTCAGAGCGCGAAGACATCGAGCGTACAATCCGCATCCTCATGGCCATCCCCTACGCCGTGAAAAACCACCTCCGCGCGGAATGGGGAGCCGCGTGGGTATTTGGTAGTTCCATTGCCGATGATTTGAACCATCGTGGTGGGACCTTGTATAACCCTGAATACGCGAACCTGTTACCGGCTGGGTTGGAAGGCCATGAGGATGAGGGCCTGGGTCTTCCGTTTCAGTTGACTTTCTTCATTGACGGGTTTATTAAGCGTGGCGAGGAGCGTGGCTGGTTTCCAGCTCCTGGGGCTAGTCAGATGCAGGCGCAGTTGAATACTTTGACTGATGCTTATGGACGCATGGAGACTATTAAGTTGACTCCGATTCCGGTGGCTCATTTGTGGGTGTCATTTTTGTAGATTTTTGGCTGAGTGAGATGTGCTAATGTGTTGACTTTTTATTTAGGATTCATCAGAAGCAAGTGCTTGCGCTATTTGGTTGTGTTTTGCCATTTGCTATGGTTGACGAGATGGGGTGGTGGGCAATTCCCATTGTCAGTCTCGTTATTTTCACGCTTTATGGCATCGAGGGGATTGGTTCTCAGTTGGAGGATCCCTTTGGCTATGACCGGAACGATATCAAGATGGACGCCCTTGCTGGTGACTCTAAAACTGAGATTGATGTTGTTCTGTCGGAGTGGCGGACTCATTCGAAAGCTATGGATGCTTTGAGACATCAGCCAGCTGGTGCTTATCATGGTGACCTGTGTTTGACGCCTAATCGAAATGATGGTACCAATGGGGATGGAGATGACAAGTATATGCCGCCAGACTTATTTTTGAGGTTGAGGCCTAGTACTGGAAGGTGACGCTTATGCTTTTGGTTGAGGAAGAGGAAGGTGTGTTTTTGTTTCAAGACATGCATAGTATTTTCCTATCTGTATCGAACCATATCTATGATCGCAGAACATTATGATTATAAGCAAGCGTTTTCCCAGTACTTGCCAGTTATACAGTAATGACTATGTATATCCGAACTTCTGTTCATGCAGGCGATGTTGGAACATTGCGGATATACGGACCCAGCTGTTAAGTGTTCCACCAGCATTGCGTCATCCACCAGATGTATACTTCCGACGCATTTTATTTCACTCACATCTTTGAACTCTATACAATCTGGCCAACAGAGCCTAAGTGAGATAGATAAATAAAGGAAAGCCGGCGCAATTGAGCTCCCGAGGCATCACCATGTCCTCTGCGCACGACACCCTAAAAATCATCACAGTCCTCGGAGCGACTGGAAACCAAGGCGGTGGTGTCGTCCAGGCACTTCTCAAGATAACTACCCCATCATTCCACGTCCGCGCTATAACTAGAGATGTGGCGTCTATTAGTGCCGAGCAACTCAAAGCAAAATTCCCAAACAACCACCGCTTGAAACTCGTGGAAGCCAATGTCTACGACAGTGAATCCTTGCTCAAAGCGTTCAATAATTCTTATGGCGTATTCGCCGTAACGAATAATCGACTTCCCGGACAGAAGATCGAGACTGAGCAAGATATGGACCATGAACTTGAGGCTGGTCGTAACATTTTGGATGCTGCCAAGGTATGCATAACTCCCACCTAGAACAGGTTAATAAAAATCAACCTGACTTCCATTTCAAGGCTTGCAATGTGCAACATTTTGTGATGAGTAGCTTGCCCAATCTGACAGAGGCTAGTAAGGGTCGGTTCAGCAAGGTCTTTCACTTTGACAATAAGTCGAAGATTGAGAATTGGGCGAGACGTGAGCTTCCGGCTGTGACTTCGTTGCATCCTGGTATGTGATAGTACAAGCTAAAAAGGCTGGAGCGAAGTATGGCTTACCAGTGCCCAATAAGGACTGTTTTATACCAATATGCAATGGTCGCAATATTGTCGACAGGAAGGTAAGAGCCACGAGCTACGTACGGAAACCCAACATCATCGAGTCTGACTACAACACAGAAAATGGAATTGTGCGATTCTGTGCTCCCATAGAAGGACACAAACTCGCCGATTGGGTTGACCCGAGTTATGACATTGGGGTATATGCCGCAAGTAAGACCAACCGAACATAACAAGCGACATGGATATAAGCTAACAAACTAGAAATCTTTTCCCTCGGCCCGGAGAAGACACTGTCAAAGACATACCCGGTCGTCGGTCCAAAGCTGACATTTGCAGAGTTTGCAAAGATATTTACAGAAAGGACTGGACGGGAGGCTGTCTTTAATCCTATTACACTTGACCAGTGGGGTGCGACTGTGGCCTCTACCGTGGGCAAAGGGTATGAGGAGGATATTAGACAGATGATGCAGTGGATTTCTGTTGCTCCAGACGAGAAGGTTTGTTATGGGACTATGAATTTTAGGGATGATAAGTCCTGGGAAGATCTTGGGGTTAGGGCTAGTACGTTTGTGGAGTGGATGGAGCGGGCTTCGTGGACTGGGCCTTGACCTGTAATCATTCTGGAATGATATCTTGCTTTGCGACAGAATTTGAACGAGTTGTATTGGGTATCCATTGCAAAATTAAGGTAGCGGGCTTTCCAATCCTTATAACGGTGGCTCCAGAGCCAGAACACCATCTAGGATTGTATCCGGTGTAACATCAGCGAGAACCTGAGACACTGCATGTATATTACTTCCGTACTGTAGACTGCGGTCTTCGCCTGGGGCTGTGACGATGATGCGATGGCGGAAGACCTTCCTTGCAGCCAAGGCCACGATTGAAGGGGTTAGATAATCGATTCCATGTAGAGGTGCTAGAAGTCTGGGTTAAAGAGTCAACAAGGGGAGATTCTTCAGTTGATAGGATGCGTTGAGTGACCACACTCACTGTGCAAATCGGGAAAATTGGATGTTGGCTTTGGCAGATACACCACCGGCAACAGCGCGACTGAGCCGTAAGAAGACAACTATGTCTTGGATGTATCGAACAACTTCAGAACTTGTAGATACTGTCGTACTTGCTTCTTGGAGTTGTTCTATCACCTGTATTTCATATGTCCATGGTCAGTCGATGGTATTTTCTTCTTGGAACAAGAAACGAGAATGACATACCGTTTGGGTGATAGCTGGCCCCTTTATTTGGTGACCCTTTGAATTATGAATAACAGATGAGGCAGAGAGTTGCCCATCTGAAAGCCAATCGTTTTCTTCGAGATAAGTGTAGCCGGACTCCGGGCTATGAAAGTGGGAGATGAAAAGGTTGTCGTTCTACCGTGACATTAGCCAGAGGATAATGAAGATAGATATACTGTTTTGGGCATTCCACTCACCAGGTGAAACTTCAAAGGTGGTTGAAGTTGATCAGAGTCTCGAGATACAAGAGGGATAAACAGGAATTCGTCGGGTGCATTAAGGGTGCCACTCTCGACGACCAATTCCCTTGATCGCATCAACTATACCACTTTTTAGTATGCATTTAGTGAGACAGAGTCCAAGTTCCCTACCTGTAGGAGATGTGCTTGAATATCATCGCTGACGAAGTTGAGGTTTTTGGCGATCACAACATTTACGACATTACTGCTAGCAAGGTGAGCAATAGGGACTGGTCCCTTCTTCGGGTCATCAAAGCTCTTATATGATGAACGTTTGCTTGACTGATTTTGTCAGTGCTGGATACGCACATCTTGACAGATGCCAGGTCGACATACTGGTTCAGTGCTCAGCCATGGACGCGGTGGGCGGTGCTGTGTTCGTGCGTCAGGAGTGAGAACATCATTGGCAACATCGTCAATAGACGTTGCCGAGGAGCAGTCGATAATGCAATATGAATAATTGAAGGTAGTTGTGGCAATCTAAATGTACTTAGCTAGAGCCTATTACATTATAGACATTCACTACCTACCAAGGCAAGTTCTTTGGCGAGGTCGTGAATACAATGACTGGTGGTCTCGATCAGGCAGTGTTCACGGGCAACAAGACACAGAAGGAGTGCCACTTCCAGATCGGATAATTGACGAGCAATTTCATCAAGACCCGGATCATCCATGCTTCAACAGGATAAATGAGGACGAAAGTGCCTTGGAAACGACGGGTGGGCATTTGCGGGATATCAGCGCCTGACAAACAAGGCGGAAACCTTCCCGATTTGGGTTAGCGCCTGATAGCTTCCCCGAATGCCCGCCCGCTCGAGCATCAACAGCTCAACACCGGGGATAGAGAGGTATCAAGCCTGTCATCTGTGGCGAATCCTTCAATATGGCGCCTTCCAATCCTCTCGCGAACTGGGAGAAGATTGGAGATAGCTTCTATCGCAAAATCGCCGTCTATGACGCCATCTTTGAAGAAGACGTTGAATTGGAGAACTACATCGCCGCAGGCGCCCCTTACGGCGGAGCTATTGGTAAGAGTGCAATGTTTGAATTCGGAGTTCGAACTAACCCAGGGTCTGTTAGCGATCTATCGTGATGAAAGCAAGCCATTTCGGCTGCGCGATTCTCAGTCTTCGCGATCAACGATCGACATTTATTCCTCCTCTGGAAAGCAGATTAGTCGCATTAATGTTTGTTACGATTCCTTTGGTCTTTACGCGCTTGAGCTAACTCACCTGTAGTGGGAGCAAGCTACTATTCGCGGATTAGGCTGGTCCGACAAGGAAGAGCTCCTGGTTGTCTCCGAGGATGGCACCGTACGCCGTTACTTTGGCCTGGACGGAGAATTTACCTCCTTCTCGCTTGGAAATGTGAGTTTAGCGTGTTAGCATTCAAGCATGGAAAAAAACTAACCATGTGAAGGGAGCCGAAGAATATGGCGTGAGAGCCTGCCAGTTTTGGGCATCTGGCCTCGTGGCATTACTGTCCAACAACCAGCTGATCGCTGTGTCCAAATATGAAGAACCACGTCCGCGGCTCTTGGCACCTTGCCCGGAAGGCGAAGTATCATCTTGGGCCTTAATTCCACCCGCACAAACTCTATCTCGTTCCGTTGAGGTCCTCCTGGCTGTCGACAAGACGGTCTTCTCTGTCGACTCAACAGAAGCAGAAGACAAGATTCTGCAAGATGGTCCTTTCAAACACATCAGCGTGTCTCCCACTGGAAGATTCGTCGCACTCTTCACTGCTGAAGGGAAGTTATGGGTAGTTAGCAATGACTTCCAAAATAAGTTCAGCGAATATGACTCGAAGTCTCGCGTACCTCCAAGCACGGTGAACTGGTGTGGCGATGACGCAGTGATTCTTGCCTGGGAAGATGAAATCCATCTGGTCGGGCCAAACGGGGCCGCATCAAAGTGAGTATTTCGTTTAGCTCGATACTGCTACATAATCTAATTATATCAGATACTACTATGACGGTCGTGTCCATGTTATACCGGAGTTTGATGGAGTCCGTCTCATCACGAATGATACATGCGAGTTCCTACACAAGGTTGCTGGTAAGTCACCAATGCCGGAAGCAATCAGACTCCCACTGACAAATTCCAGGTGTCACCGAAGAGATATTCCGCTTGGGTTCATCTTCCCCTGCTTCAGTACTGCTGGATTCGGTAGATCAGCTGGAGAAGAAATCACCAAAAGCCGACGAGAACATTCAAAGAATTCGATCAAGTCTACCATCTGCGGTGGATACCTGTATCAAAGCAGCGGGTCATGAATTCGATGCTTACTGGCAGAAGCGCCTACTCAAAGCTGCCTCATTTGGCAAATCGGTGCTCGAACTCTACAACAGCGACGAGTTCGTAGAAATGACGGAAAAGCTACGAGTACTGAAAGCACTGAGAGATTACAAGATTGGGTTACCTTTGTCTTACGAGCAATACCTACGTCTTTCACCAGAGGGCCTCATAGAACGACTAATCAACCGACATGAGTACTTGCTTGCAATTCGGGTCTCTGAATACCTGCAGATCCCAGCGGACAAGATTTATGTGCATTGGGCAAGTCAAAAAGTTAAGGTCTCCACAGTTGATGATGAGGCTGTCTGCAAGCTCATTGTCCAAAGGCTCAACAATAAGCCGGGAATCTCTTTCGAGGCTATCGCCCAGGCTGCTTACGACGAGGGTCGATCCCACCTAGCCACCCAGTTGTTGAACCATGAACCACGGGGCGGCAAGCAAGTTCCATTGCTCCTTAACATGGAAGAAGATGAACTCGCTCTTGATAAGGCTATTGAGAGTGGCGATGATGACCTAGTCAACTTCGTGCTTCTGCATCTCAAGAGCAAGCTTCCTCTGGCGAGCTTCTTCCGTATGATTAACACCCGCCCTATGGCCTCCGCACTGGTAGAGACAGCTGCACGAGGTGAAGATGTGGAGTTACTCAAAGATCTTTTCTACCAAGATGACCGACCCATTGACGGTGCTAATGTCCTATTGACGGAAGCATTGCGGGATACGGATTTGACGCGTCAGACCGAGAAGCTTCACCTGGCAACTCGCCTTCTGTCGGATTCCAAGGAGCCAACTGTAGTACTACACCAGAAATTGGTCTCTGAAGCCTCCCAGCTTCTGAAAACCCAGGACGCACTGGATAAAGACCTGGCAGATCACAGTGAGTTCCTTGGTCTTAGTCTCAATGAGACAGTCTACAGACTCGTTCGAGGTGGTTACGGTAAAAGAGCACAGAGGATCCAGAGTGAATTCAAAATGCCCGAAAAGACATTTTGGTGGTTGAGATTGAGGGCTTTGGTAGCCAAACGTGACTGGGGTGAATTGGAAGAAATCGCTAAGATCAAGAAGTCCCCAATTGGGTGGGAGGTAAGAAAATCGAAATCCCACTACCCAGAAAAATGCTTACAAGACAGCCCTTCTATAACGAGGTTCTGGGTGCCGGAAACACAAAGCTAGCTTCGGTCTTCGTCCCGAAGTGCAGCCACGTACCGCCCGCCGAGCGAATCGAGATGTGGATGAAATGCGGAATGATTGTGAAGGCGGGCGAAGAGGCCCAAAAGAGCAAGGACCTCAATACCTTGGAACTCCTTCGAACGAAAGCCTCTGGTCCTGCAGCCACCGAGATCGAGCGCATGATCAACCAACTTAGACCGAGGAAATGAGCGCAGAGAATCTCCAACTTGCTTTCGGTATCGCCCAGGCCTCTGACAATGTTCAGGTGATCTCGTCAAAGTCGTCTGTGGCGGGTCCGGAGGCTTCATCTGACATCTGGAAGACATTTGTGCTTGCGACAGCCTTGGCAGGCGGTTCGGTATCTTCGGCCATAGCTTCGTCGCCATCTTCAGCCTCGTCTTCGTCTTCGTTCTCTTGTTGTTGGAGAGCGGTGAACACCGTGGAGTTGCGGTTGGTATCCGCCCAGTCAGCCTAATGAGGTATTGTGAGCAACAGTAGGCAAAAACGAGACAATGTAATACATACCCTTCTATTATTGACGACCTTACCACGTGCCAGACTCTTAGCCTTCTTAATCTCCATTTGGTCCAGAACTGCCTCTGCACGGTCCATGCCCTTTTGTTGCCTTAACCGCTGAGCCCTCGAAAGCTTCTTGTCGTTCTTGTTCTTCTTCTGAATGCCAGAATTGCGACGATCGGTCAGAACAGAGGGCCGCTGAGCGGCAGGGGATTCCGCACGAGGCAGCGAGGTCACAGACTTATCCAAGTCGAGACTTGGCGAAGCTGCACGGCGTGCGGCACGTGAACGTGTTGACTGTTCTGTAAAAATGTGTTAGATAACTTTAGATCCAATAAATCGACTCAAGAACTTACGTCTGCTCTTCGCCATGGTTGTTTTGGAAAATTATCTGTTGCGTGGGGAGCCCGCTATCGATAAAAAAAGTTTACGGCAGACCATAACGACCAGTCGCGCAGTTTGGTATACCATGTTGCTTTTCATGCACGCGATGTCCGTTCTGAAGTATCTCCCACTCATGCTCACCCAGCTTTTTACTGGCGGTGGCAGAACATCTTGTTTAAACAACAATGCACCCTCGCCACGAGCATTCTACTATATTTCCAAACCGCCCCGTTCATTACGCAAGCCAAATCAGCCACTATGAGACCGCTCTTGCAGCGCTACAAAACACCCAAGCGCTAGGGACCGGTCTGATCGCTCTGGCTTCTTTTTATTTACTTCTCGATTACTTCGGATTCGCTCCCATATCAGTTCTCCATCTTGTCTGGAAGGGCCTGGTTTACCTCACTCCGTCCCGGCTCGTTGTCGCATTGGACCCTCGCATGTCCGACCCTGAATCACCAACTCCCACGGGCTCTCCCCCGTCGCCATTTGAGCAGAAGAACGCCGCAATGCAACGAATCTTCGGCATAGATACCTCCCATCTCGCCTTTTCTTTTCGCCGCCGCTCTCTCTCCGGCCTCGGAAACGCCTTGCTCGGAAATACAAAGGAGGCTAAGCCCCCGGGTCTTGGGAATTGGGACAACTCATGCTATCAGAACAGTATCATCCAGGGCTTGGCCTCGCTGGAGTCTCTTGCAGCGTTTCTCGCGCACAATGTCAACCACCACTCGGACAAGACTTATCTTTCGAAGCATGAGGCACTGAGTGATATCATCGCATGTCTGAACAATCCTTCGAACAATGGAACAAAGCTGTGGATCCCGGCGGATCTCAAGTCTATGAGCAGTTGGCAACAACAGGATGCACAAGAGTACTTTTCCAAGCTGGTGGACCAAATCGACCTTGAGATTCGGCTCGCTTCACACGGAGAGACATCGAATATGGGATTGAAAATCGCAGGCCGGGAGGAAAATATCGTGCGCGACAACGTTTCCGATATGTCTACTTCTGAGGGATGCGACTCTTCAACCCGGACCAGTGGTAAGGCGTCAAGTCGCAATCCTCTCGAAGGACTACTCGCTCAACGGGTCGGGTGCATGGAATGTGGATGGACGGAAGGGCTTTCTTTAATTCCGTTCAATTGCCTCACAGTCCCTCTTGGGGCAAAGTTTGAATATGACCTGGTGGACTGTCTGGACCAATACATGACACTTGAGCCCATCGATGGTGTGGAATGCGCCAAGTGCACATTACTCCAGTACCATCAAAAACTTTCCGAAATGTTTGCTGGGATTGAAGGGGACGAGAAACAATTTCCTGGCGCAGAGAAGTCTCAGTTTACCGATGCATTAAAAGCCGATACACTGTCGCGCCTTCAAGCCGTCAAAGCAGCGTTGGAGGGCAACGATATCAGCGATACCACATTGAAGGATTGCCGCATCCCTGCGAAGAACCGTGTTTCAACTACCAAATCACGACAGGCGGTCATTGCCCGATCCCCTCAATGCCTTGCTGTCCACATCAACCGCAGTCTCTTCGATGAAACGAATGGGATGTTGACAAAGAACCACGCTGCAGTCAGATTTCCTCAAATGATCGACTTGAATGGCTGGTGTCTTGGCACCCAAGCTCGTAGCCAGTCTGATGAGGCCCCCGAGCAATGGGAGACCGACCCTTCCAAGTCGATGCTTCCACAACACGGCGAGGCTGTTCAAGTTCCCAGCCGACGGTACACACTGCGAGCTATTGTCACGCACCACGGCCGTCATGAGAACGGCCACTACATCTGTTACCGCAAGTATTCGACGTTAGATTTCCCAGCTCCCGTTCCGGATCACGTTCTTCAAGCCGAAGGCGACGAGGAAAAGTCCGAGCGTTGGTACCAGCTCAGCGACGGTGACGTGACGATGGTTAGCGAAGGCCATGTCATGTCCCAAGGCGGTGCCTTCATGCTATTCTACGAAGCCATGGATGATTCTCTCCAACCTTGTCAGACTCCCACCACAGAAAATGTTCAGTGCGAGACCGCTGAATCCGTTCAATTCGAGAATGCTGAATCAATCTCAAATTACACCATGTCCGAAGACCTTTCCGCCCCATCCACCGTCACCGACTTTGGCTCCTGCACTTCTCGCGCTACGAGCGTCTCACTTCCAACGGAGGATTTGACGTCTGTCGACCTGCCCCTAAAGCCTTCAGGCGATCATACACCGACAGAAGAACTTGATTTGCCTTCAATGATCACTGCATGATGCCTCTGCCCTGTTGTATTCCAATCTCTTGTTTTTCTGCTTTACCAGCATAGTCGTGCCATGTAGCCGACCACTGCATCATGATACCCGATAGCAATTTCCATTTGCGGCGTTGATCTCACACTCCACTGTGTTTGGGAGTATTTTGTATGAGTTTATGTACTTTTACGGGTCCTCCGTCTTTCAAGAAGGGAATTGATTTGACCATCTTGTTTCTACTTATCTCATCCATCTAACTTTGCGTACTGTGAGAGTCATGGCCTTCAGATCAATGCTTCCTTAGAGACACGTTTCCGTATGTACTCGTATCTGCTTGAATATCATTGAAAGTCGCATTTTTGATGTTTCGGGTGGGCGTCGTCATGCTGTCACTAACACCAAGCTGCGAGGCGACTTACTCTGCGACATAAAGACACACTCCAATTTCTGGCATTTGGAGATCATTTCTACCCGCATATAGACATGGTACCTTGTTGAAACAGACCCAGGCGCATCATGGCCGGAAAGCACCTAACCAAGTACCTTGTGGCCAGCCACCGCAGCAAAAGATTGCTCGGAGGTACTCTTTCTGAAAGGTTGAATTAAATGCTTTGTTTATCTTTCAGAGTTCCTGTCTGATCAAATCTTCTACAAAATCTGTGTCATTGTCTGTTTAGTTGTGATTTTTCCCCTCATCTGGCTGTGCTATACACGAGTCTATATAGATCTACTCAAGGTCCAGCCCCAGGGTCCTCACCTACTATCTGATCAACATATAGTATGACACCATCACCACAATATTTAAAACTTTTGGACTTCCTGTTCTAATTCAAGAAGCAGTTGATTTTTCATACTCTGTATCATATCCGACGATGTCTATCACCAGTCCTTCACGACACCAACCTCACGACATCTTCCTCATCAATGAACTCCTAGAAACCATTCTTCTACATATAGACATGCGAACACTTCTAACATCCGGCCAACGCGTATGTCGGACATGGAAAAACATGATTGAGACATCAGTTAGAGTCCAAGAGAATCTCTTCTTCAAACCGTCCAAATCCAAAGCCACAGAAAGCACCCAACGCAAACGGAATCCTCTCCTAGAAGAAATCCTCTGGGCCCAATTCTTCCTCAAGCAACAAGAAAACTCCGAATTAAAGGCGGTCGAAGTAAGCAGATTTCCAATGCGCGGTAGCGATCGCCAGAAAGCAGAAGCGTATCTACGAAAAGACGCCAGCTGGAAACAAATGCTGCTTCAACAACCGCCAACCTCATCAGTTGGAGTCCTGGAGATCATCAGACGATCAGACTCGGAATTCACCAAATTGAACATCAACCCTGACAACAACTTCCTCCGAATGGGTCATATTTTGACTCTCCTCCAGGGACGCAGTACTCTAGTTCCAACGCGCAACAAATGGATCCTATGGAGCGGACGGTCTCGAATCCGGATGCCTCTGAACTTCGAGATCTGGGCGCCGAAATGGGTCTATGAGCCTAGTACACTCCAACCAATCCAAGAATGGATCCCGGATAATATTGACTGGGACAGTCTCCGGTTGGAGGTTGCATCGATGTATCTGAATGACTTTGATTGTGATCTGGTGATTGTATCGGAGAGGAGACAGAAACTTTTCCAGGGGGAGGATCGAGTGCACAAGGAGAGCAAACTGGACCGTCGACTTGAACGAGTATTTGGGGAGTGTACTATTGATATGGGAAGGAAGAGGGTTAATCACTCTTTTATTCCTATTCATGGTGTTGGAGTTGATCGGAGGTGGGTTCTTAGACCTTGTTCTGCTATGCCTCTTGTTCCGACGTGCAGTGCTTCTTGTTCAGATTCATCTTCCTCGCGTTCGTCGTTTTCGTCGTCCTTTTAAGTACTGGATACAGTGGGCTTAATGATAGTTCGTCTCCGGCTTCATCTGAGTGGGCGGGCTATCACATCTAGATTCATACGTATAGGTCATACCCCACCGAAATTCTAATTGTTGATAGCACACTATTAAGCCGGAAGCCTAAAACACATTTAACAAAATAGCTATCCGGTATATAGAAATGTAAACCATCAAATATCCTGCAGTGTACTTCACATACATCAAGCCCATCTGATACGGGGCTAGCCGCATCCGCCACTTCCCCACTTCAAAAAATAATCGCCCCTCTGCCTCTCTCCTGCTCTCTACTTCCTACATTACGTTGACAACATATTTCAAAATGGGCGTCGAGAGGAAGATCATCACCCGCGGCAACGGCTCCGATTCGCCTGCAGCAGGCGACAAGGTCTCAATCCACTACACGGGCTGGCTCTACGATGCTAAGAAGTCCAACAAGGGCTTCCAGGGCAAGCAGTAAGCTGACCATCACGCGTTACATCTACTGGGCTTATTGTATGTATTTGGAATACTAATTCATCTTTGCAGGTTTGATAGCTCCCGATCCCCTGGTCGTGGCGCTTTGAATGTTCAGATTGGTGTTGGACAGGTCATTAAGGGTATTTTTTACCTTCCTTCCTTCCTTGCTTTTTTCCCCTTTGGTTCCGATAAGATTATATTTGGAATCGTTTCTGGGTTCATGCCTTGCATTTAGAATTGGATAGCTGATTTGTAAATGCGCAGGCTGGGATGAGGGTGTTATGCAGATGACCCTGGGCGAGAAATCCACTCTGACTATTTCCCCGTGAGTGCAGGCTTTATTGAATGGCAAACTGGGAAATTACTGACATTCTTCTCAGTGACTACGGCTACGGTGACAAGTATGTGAATGCATGATATCCGGCGATTAGTTCTATCTGCCGGGATATCCGTCCAGTGAAGTGCTAACATTTTTTTTGCTATGCAGGGCAGCTGGCAAAATCCCTGCTGGCTCTACTCTGATCTTGTAGGTTTGATTACTTGCATCATTCGCTTTCAAGGTGCTAACTATATTACAGCGAAGTCGAGCTCCTCAAGATCAACAACAAGAGCGCCTAAATGCGCTATTGGATTCATTAGAGAAAAGGAATTATTTCATTTACTACACTTACTTCTGCCTCAATTTCTTCCAAGTTGGTTGTACACAATTGTCATTTAGGCTAATGATTCGTTGTACAGTAGGGTAAGTTGAATACTTGCACCAATAGAAAGAGTACTGCCAGCAGATGTCCTCTCTCCAATTGGCACTCGCAACTAAACCAAAACAGGCCAAAGGGAGGTCCTTATTCTAGCTCCAAGTGCCATTCGCAGGTCCAAAGTATCCCACCTCCGGCATAGCCATGTAAGCCACGCCCTCCCCGTCAGCAGTATTGAGATACACCGTATTTCCCCACCACGATGGGAATGTAGCACCAGGGTATGAAATGCAGAAGAATATAACTATACCACTCAGAGCAAGGCCCGTGTCAAGAGCCGCGGCCAAGACATAGTTATACTTCGTCCACCAGGCAAAGTATCGACGACGGAAGACATGGTTGAACACGAAGTTGACAAGCGCCCAACTGGAGTAGTTAATGCCGGTGGCTAAAGCAAAGATTTAAGTTAGCAGTGATGCAAAAGATAAGAACCAAAGCCACATACCCGGAGGAACATTCCAAGTGCCCACAAAGATCAACGGCCAATTAATCCACTTCCAAAACTCGCGACGCGTATATTTATACAAAGCCCAAGTAACAATCGGCGCAATAGCGCCAATCCAAAAGAAATGCAACAAAGAAGAATAAATCCTCCCAGCAGAATACAACCTCCGAGGACCAACAAGACCCCAGATAACCGACGAAGAATAAACAGTGCGACCATTAGGACACGAAAACCCATCCGACTGCCCAGACTCACAAATATCCGCGATATTAGAAAGCATCCAAAGCGTAACCCCCGTCTGAGTAAGAGCCCCGAGAATAGTAGCAACACCCTGCGCAACAAAACAAGTCCTAGGTGGGACTTTCATGTAATGCGCCAACTTCATATCCATAGCAAAATAAACGCCCTGACCAACGACGTCCGTCGAAAGAATCTTGAAAATCATATTTGCGAGCGGACGGCCTTCGAATAAGTATCCACCAATGAACTCGGATAAGACGTTCAACTGGTTTGCGTCGACGTTCGTTATGCCTTGTACGATGCCGCAAGGGACCATATACACTACCGGGATTATGAGTGCGAGGAAGACGCCGTAGACGGGGAGGTTGGTATGGTAGACTTCAACGATGGCGATGGCGATGGCTGTTATCACTACTATAATCCCCGCGTACCAATACCACGGTGTTTGTCTGTATGAGGCTCGGACTAGACGCGCGTGGACGTCTAATCTGTTCCGGCCTTTCAGTGCAGCCCAGAGGTCTTTCGCATGCCAGAAACCAATGTGCGTGAGAACCGATGTAATTGCGGCGAAAGATAGACCATACACGAAGGCAAAGGTTGCGCCTAGAAATGGAGGGGAGTATCTGCGGTATGCATCGACATTGAGGGTATTATTGGCTGCAATTACTCGCGCCGTGTCGTATACTGCGCCCGTATTGTCATATACATCACTCGTCATGAGCGGGAGATATGCCGTGAACCAAACATTCGTATAGTAAAGCGCCGGCACGACAATCCAGTAGAAGAAAGCGAATCCGAAGAACACGTTCAACGCCGCCCAAGATGGTGACAGAAGTGGGTTTGTATTGTAGGCGATTTGACTCCAGTCGAAGGTAATCGGACTCAATCCGAGACCGGTTTGCATACCGAAGAGCTGGTTGACTATCACGTTCTTGGGTGCGATCCAGCATACCCATGTGAAGTAGCTGAGAGCTGTGAACATTAATCCCGGGAAGAAATACCAGACGAAGCCGCCAGCTGTGACATATAGGAAGAAGCGGAGTCTGGTGATTCGCCATCCACCTGCTATATGATTTGCGCGCGAGTGCAGAGTCTCTAGCATTGCGCAGTTGGATAGCACGCCGGGCCAGATTATGCTTGCTGGCTCTACAAGCCATGGTGCTGCGAGACCTGCAACGCCAAAGCCGAGGAGTTGAGCGCAGAGGACGATCAAGACGTCGAAGCCGGCTGTCAACCCGAAGTTGTAGAATGATTTGCTCGAGGCTTGGATGATGTTTGTTGCGTCTGCGCTTCCATATCCGAAGGAGACATTGCTCATGATCACGATCACTGTGTGTTCTTTGATGTTGAATGATCGATCTGGGTTTAGAGTAAATGTGCCTAATGGGCCAAGTTTTATTGGGGTTGTTGGGAGGGCCTTTGCTAGGAAGACGCCGCATGGGTAGGCTAACAGCTCCGCCACTAGGGATACGATGTGCACGCTGGGATAGCGCAGTGAGAAGAATTGGTTGATTCCAGAGCCAAGGATCGTGAAGATTATTCCCAGCAGCCACATCCGGACTGTGTTGACTGGTAGACCTGGGTCGTCTGTTTCGGGGACAACAGCCCTGACTTTGGGTTTGTTAGTAGGGCTGAGATATATAGATCAACAATCTTAGAGGAGTTTCAAGACCTACCCTCGGGAAATGGTGATCGATTCGATTCATAGTCAAACTCGATATTCTCGTTCTCATCCTCGTTCTTGGTAGTATCAATTTCAGCCTTGACAATTTGGCCTTTATCTAGTTCTTCCTCATCAATGATCGCAGGTTTGATCTCGGGGGCGGGGGATTTAGAGGCCATGCTTTCTCTTCATCCGCAATCCGCGAGGATATTCTACAATGGATTCTAGCAGAATACATGGGTTTTTATTGCTACTCAGTGTTCTTCTGGCGCGGGGAAACTGATAAGACGACGCGTTAGTGCTTGGGAACGAAGCGTTATTGAGCTTAGTTCAAGATAAGCGTCTTATACCCCGCTCCTGTCTCTTCACACTCTTGTCGCATTTATGAACATGTTTACTGTAAGGAATATATCATGAAGTGGTATCGTGCAAGCTGCTTCTACTGTAAGGTTGGAACTCTAGAAGTTGTAGGGCTGCTGAGTGGCGGTCACGGAGACCAAATATACATCGCGCCACAAACAACTGTTATCAGCACGAAGAAACTTGCTACACACTAAGGGCTTTCCCGACAGAAAGATAGCGACAAAGATAGAAAGACTGATCTAGACCAGGGAAACCTGACAACGGACACCGACAGTTAAGCAATCTCATATCGCAAACATCCAAGCGCAAGCCAATCCTGCTTTAGATGAAATACGAAGGAATCACAATTCACCGCCAGTTGCCATTTATCCGACCGCATATCGGGGATGCAAATCAATCACTCCGCTTGCACCCATGCCACTAGCTAGCAAGGTTATCGCATGACTATTATAACTGTTCGGACATTTTTCTCCAGTCAGATATAAAATCTTCCCTGCCTATGAGTCCAGGATGTTACTTTTGTACGTAGAATATGACAGTTTCAAGAAGGTAGACGCGTAGAGCGCGGATGTTTCTGGCCAGAGCAGATTAAAATATCGAATGCGACCGAAGGATCCCAAGGCCCGTGTTTAGATATATAACTTAGAGTACGGAAGCGCACATGCACACACTCTATATATCAACCAAAGAGAACAAATATATCACCAGCTAGGCTCAACTAGGCAACCCAAAGAATCACTGCAAAGACGCATCGTCCGCTACATTGCCAACGGGGACCGGCCTACTACATCCACATGACGGGTTCACACATGCAGAGACGGTGAAGAAGCATTCTCGAACAAGATTGTAAAGATTGTGATTGTGATTGTTATTTGGCATTTGCAATGGGACCCTACATGTAGCTTACTCGACAGCGTCGAAAGTACATTCACCGTACAGTAGCGCCCATCCAAACATAACTGCATATTCCCCGATGGCAAATATCGGTCAACGCAAATACCCTCGGAAGTAAGCTCCCACCAAACAACAAAACCACCAGAGTCAGCAGAGGAGATGAATACCACCCAACACAACCCAATAAGCACCGCCGGTCGAGCCCTTCACAAGACATGAGTCAAGCGGCTTACGACAGTGTCATCCGCATGCCGTGTTAGTGAGCCACATATGGTCTTCGCGATGAATCAGGGGGTGGTATACGCTTGAAAGGATGTACACATCAATCAGCCATTCAAGCCTCTTAGACACGTCTCCGGGTGCACTGAACGTGAACACCCCCGCCACGGTCATCACATCCTTGTCGATCGATGCAGCCGAGACCGCGGATGGACCTCCGGGGGCCCGGGGGTGTTTGGGTTACTCACACTGCAACTGCAGCTTTCATACTTTGCCGTGCAGATATGAGTTCATCGGTCATGTTATTGTTAATGTATGCTGCTAGGTTTGACTCACTATCTTCAGCTTTGATCTTCAGTGGGTCTGATTATCCATTCCTCCTCCCCATGGGGAGAGTATACATGTATGTATGTTTCGCTTGAATGGAACTTACTCACATGTACAGTGTACGACCGAGCTGAATGCATCTGATCGAGACCAGTGATTGCGGCAATCAAGTGGAAGTGGCGAGTCGGTTTGTATTTGATCACATCCGTGCTATAGGTCCCATTGACATTGACATCTAGTCTACATCTGCTAGGCTTCTGTTGGAGGTAACTATCGAATATCAAATATGAACTAAGCCGTATCCAGCATCTATTGAATATCGAACATCCGCCCCGGCTCAGATCATGCAGACCCGACCGTCTGTGTCCTTGGGATTTTAGTTCAGAGATCTTGCATGAGAGCTGCAGCTATATCTGCAGGAAAACCCTGGAATGGCTGGAAAGCGAGGATCCGAGCTCCCGCTGCACCAAAGACCAAAGACCAGTTGCAGCAGGTTAAAAACAAGGATCAAACCAAGCAAGCATTCTTCACTGGTGTATTTGCTACAGTAACTTACCGATTGTATATTCTACGGCGTGCAGTTTGCATCTGATCCCAATCCCGCAAACAAACAACCTCGGAAAATCAACACATCCCTCGCTCCCAAGGATAACAACATGACCCTTTATGCCCAATCTATATACAACCGGAAATTGACCTTCCTCTTCCGGTGCAAAAGTCCCCACAAAACCCGCCGCCGCGGAACGATGATAATATCCCGCTCCCCACCGACCCAGGGGGCGGGATACTCCAAGGGAAGAGCACGCGTTGGAAATTGAAACACCGAGTACCTGGGACCGGAAAGGGGTCGAGGATTCCGCGCGAGCTACGTATACGCGTTCGATCGATCGTGGACGGCCCGATCCCCATCCAGCTTTTGAAATGACAACCTACATACGTGACAGTATACCTGTCACCTAAGCTATTGCATAGAGAATTTGGGTAGTGGGATACATGTACTAGCTCCAGGGTACAGAAGTACAAAAGAGCTGTCAAGTCAAGCTGAATGAAAGGTGAGAGATAGACTACTGTAGATGCTCACCTCCATCTCCACAACAACAGCCCCTTTCCTGGCTCCCCGACGGGCCGGGGCGCGGATGCATCAACTATGGAGTACAAGGACGTAGGCGGCGTATGGAATCACGAGTATTTCACATTCCTGTGGGAATTGGGTATATACATGGTCAAAGTGTGTGAAATGGAAGTGATTGGGTAGCCATCCTCATCCCTTATATGATGCATAAAGGCGTCGATCTTCAGCTTTAAAAGGGGGAAGGCCCAGGGTGGCGGGTTTTGGTCCACTTAGGGCGTCGGGGGAAGTGCTTTGCAGGCCGGAAGCAAGTCATATGCAAAAGATGAAAGAAACTGATATACATTTACAGAGTGTAAGAACTAAGAAATGAGATGGGGAATGTCTTTGTTTTGAGTCTAGACCTGGCTGATCTAGGCCCATAGTCCACAGTCTATAGCCTGGAAAAGTGGGCATCGCTGATTTGTGCGAAAATTAGACGGTCTTTTTTTGGGAGGATTTTCCGGTAATCTTCCTTCGATTGGGATCCAAGAATCCCTCTAGAACGATCAATCGTTGCCGGCATATAGACTCGGTTTTGGGTTGGGGGACTGTATTTACCCGACAACTCCCGTGGAGACGGGGGAACGGGGGAAACGGGGGAACTTCCGAGGCGGCGGAAACCGTTAGTTTGCCGTTTTCTTTCAAGAGGAGTAGGGATTCGAGTTTGAATACCTAGTCCCCGGTGGAGTAACAAACTCCTGATCCCCTAGGGCATCGAAAATGGCAGCCCGTTAATTTCATTTCTTTGCCCAAAATCTCTAGTCAAAACAATAGTTCAACAATAACAAAGAAACGGTGTTGACGTGTTGACGTGTTGGTAAACCCAACTTGACCGCCAGACGCCGTTTAGGCGTAATCAAGGGGAAAATTCAAGTTTGGCCCGGCTTCGATATGCAGGTATACTTCTTCACTTAGGAAGCGGTGAATCTAGGGCTTGACTGGGAGATCGCCATCTAAACTGGCTATTTCCCTTACACCGCAAAACAATCTGATTTTTGATCCCCGAGACCTTGAGCTGCCCTTTTGGGGGTACCTCCGTAAGGGGGAGAAACATATCAAAGGTTCTCCAGATTCTCCAGATTCTCGGGTATAATCAAAGTGTTTTGCTTCAGGTGTGATCTATGTCAGAATAAAAGAGAAACAGCCACCCGATGTTCCCCGCGAAGTATTTGGCACAGAGCTGATACGTCGCATGGGAATTGTGCTTTATTATTGTCGATCTGACTGATCGGCCTTTGGGCTCCGGAATCCGCTTCCGCCTCAATTTTATTTATTTTATTTCCTTTTTTTTATTTTTCAATTTATCCCTTTTGGGATTTATTATTGATTATTTTGTCTCAAAGGTCTAGAAGTCTTCCCCGGCTTTGATACTTGAACACGCTCCACCCTCGACTTTCTCTCACTTCTTCTTCAACTTCATATCAACTATACTGTGGTTTCATACCTCGGGCCCTCTGGTCCAACTCTCACCTCACTCTCCACACTCAACTCTCCACTCAACTCATAATGATTCCCATTCAAACTCGCCTTCGCGACATGTCGCTCCCGAAGGCCGCGGCACCTGTTGCTAGCACGGATCCCGCACAGGTCACCTTCAACTGGAGTGGTAGCTCTTTCGAATCATCTCCCATGTCAAATCCATTCGCTCCTCCACCAACACCATGCGACTCTCTCCTCGACATTCACCCTCGCAAATCATCGTTCTCCAGTGAAATGGGAGCCGCCTACGCCTTCCCATCCTGGCCTAACAGACCCTCTCTCTCCAGCCACGACTCCACAGACTCTAATGCAAGCGCCTATCTCACCGACGATGACCTGCTCTGGATGCCCGAGAACGCCGCCGCCGAGAAAGCTGTGGAAGAGGCAACCAATATCGATGCCGAGCTCGCCCACTCTATCACCTTGGAGCAACAGCTCCAGCGTATCCGCGCTGTGGCTGCTGAGGAGGAGGCTCGCGCTAACTTCCTTGCTCGCGTTGATGCCCATGCCCGCGCAACACATGCTTTGCGCATGGCTAAGATGAATGTGACTGCGACTGTAAATGTCAACGAGCGCGACAACGCAAAGCGCAAGAAGCGTCGAGCTGTCCCTAGCCCTAAGCGACGCGCTCACTCGGCTTCCAAGGTGTTGTCTCAATGAGAAACGCCGGACCGGTGCAGTGCTGGCGCTGCTTGACATCTTCTCTTCAATATCTTGTCATTATCATCAATATTTTAATGTCTCCACATCAACCTCGGCCACCCATCACCCACCACCAAAGCGCCATTCCCTCCCGATCAGCACATCGCATATCTCTCCGAAACCTGCTGAGCGCAGATCTGCGCCATTGACGCAGGCCTCGGGCCTGCGTTATCGGACCCCGAAGCCCCCGCGCTTACCTAATAAGTCGCTGTACGCGCTTCTTCACATTGGCCTCTTACCACCTCACACCGCTGCTTCACTCTGACTCACTTCTCATGCTTTCCTTCTGTCATTTGATCATACCCTGTCCTTGCATCTCCCGGTGTTTCCCTTAGCCTTTTGCTTTCCTCCTGTTATTCCGAGCGCCTCGTTCAGATACCCCGTCTTGTAACTTTCCTATCCATTTTCGTCCCGATTTTCGCCATATTATGGCTACGTTTCCTTTTGCTCTATCTCATGGTTATTTTTCCACTATTCCCGCTGAAAGCGCCTCTATCGGACGATCAAGTCCGCCACCATCACACATCTTCATCTTGCGGTGCTGCCTGTTGGGCAGTCAAGCTTGTTCTTTGGTACTTTAGTAGCCTCCAAACTAAGCCACTATTATTGATCCCTGATACTTGATTATCCATATCCTGAACTTGTAAATCTGTAATCTTAGTAAAAAAGTAACCACCGCGACAAAGAGAATATTATAATTCCAAATCCAACTCCCCTGTACACCCACATGTCCAATAACCCCAGTCCAGAAACCCGCGTGGCCTCCTCAGCCTCTACATAGCCCTCTACTGTGTCTATTGTACCAAGTACATGGACGTACCCCGGTCCAACCCCAGTCCGCGCCACGTTGCCAAAAACCAAAGATGAAAAATAGATCTAACTTAAAATTCGTCCAAGACTACCGAAAATAGCAAAATCAAATCCCGTAGCCGGCCGATCATCGTCAGCCTTGTCTGTCTCGTGTTGAAATCCCTCCCCCTCATCCACTCCCCACCCCTACACCCGTAACCGCGCCTCGCGTCATGTACCATTCACCCTTTCAGCCTAGAAGGCTGAAGGACCAGTAGAAGTGGATTATGGAAATGAGGCTGTTATTTTATTCTATTTTATTGGATCTTTTGCTTCTTTGTGCTTTGGATTACTTTGATCTTCGTCCTGCGACGGGTCGCCTTGCAGCCGGGGCTTGTAGTGTTGAATGTAACAGTGAGATCGGGTTGGGGTCTGGGGTTGCGGGTGGATAATCGGTGAGCATTTGAATTTGGATTATCATTTTAAATCTGCGGTGGGACTTTGTGTGTTGTGTTAGTGGCGAACTGATATTAATCGGCATCCGCGGGTGTTGGATATAGTTGGTTGGTTGGTTTGTAGTTGTAGATATAACTTTGCATCTCCGTCTCTATCTCTAGTATTTCCTCGGAGCCTCGGATAATATAAAGGAGTTAAGATAGATGATTCGCGCCGTTTGAATTCTACTTTGGGTTTACGGTTGTGGTTGCTTTGTTCTATCACGTTTTTGCTTTTTTGTACACTCCGTACAAACTATGTTGTCGATCAAATTAACCGGAGGTGGTTAAATTGGCCTAATCAAGTAACAAACCTTGGAACCCGAACCCCCGCGGGGGCGCGGAGGCAACAGACGGCGAAATAGCCCCCAGTTCCACACCGCACCACACTAAGATGGGGAAATATGAACAATTTGCCGCTTTGCCGGAGATACCGATCAAGAAAAGAAGGTTTGCCGTCGGACTCTACATTCCTACTCTAGATTTGTGGCTTCTAGAATATCATATGCACATCTGATGCAGGATGGAAATGCAGGGTTTAACTAGCCGTTATTGCTACCCGCTTTTTCTAGTGTTGTTTCGGCCGCTCTTTCAGGTTTTGTGTGATAGTTTTGTGCGATAGTTTTGTGCCACCACATGGGATGGTTGGCAATTACAGTTGAATGGTTGTATTTCCTTGCACGTGTTGCATTGGCACGTTGCCTCTGGTGAGATACTCCGGAGACCGGGTATTGCCTCGGCCTTACGGAATGGGATGGGATCTCTTTATGTCCTCGGGCCAAAGGCCGAGGTTGTAGCAACAGTTCTGGGATCGGACTAATGTTTGCCGAGGGAGGCTAACACACCCCCTGAACTGACTTTCGAGAACACTTTATTTATCTTTATCTGCGGTTTGGTCCAGACCGAACACTATGGGGATTATCCCCACATTCGACCGAGAAATTATCGATTTAATTTATGTGTACCCACATCGGTATACCTCGGGAAAGCTTTCGAGGTTGTGGATCTTCATGTGTCCGCCGCTGCTAGTAGATGTGCCCTTTTTTATGCTCCCATTCGCTAAAGAAAGCTCCTGCTACTGGCAGTCTCACTAGATAAACCCGGGGAATTGAGAGCACTAGGGTAATTTGTCGGCGCCAATTCGGGCCTAAAAAGGTGTCAAACTTTCAAGTTCATTCTTCAATGTAAGCTATGCTGTCCATTCCCTGATTGTATCAGGTCTCAAAAACACGGGAGTCTGCCAGAAGAACCTCAAGGATAGGATTGAACAAAGGAGAAGGTAAAGCAAGAGCATGCAACTCGCTAATCTGCATAAGCTTGGGCTTGGAGCTTTCGACAATTCTTCTGATACGATCCTTCAAATCCATATTCATCTGAGCATTGCGCAGAAACTTGACAATTTGAGGTGCGGTCTCTTGCACATCAAGTACAGGATCCTTCTCCAATCGAACCGTAATCTTGACATTGCTGGCAAACGATCCCAGTTCGACCACGAGAGAGCGTCCATTTCCTTCAAATTCAACTGTTCTACTTTCGTTAAGGCTCGTGACGATGGATACCTGTGCTTTCTCATGTCGCTGATATCCGATAAACTGCACATTCCACTCGCGTGTATGGGAAGTTTGATCTTCACCACTTGTGGGACCGATGGTCAGTTCATTGCTTTCTTGGTGGAAGGAAATCGGGGTGCGGCGGAACTTGATTTGATCCACGGATTGACCTTTGCCGTCATCTTCAAGGAGCTCAAATTTACCGTCGGCACCAACAACCACCATGAGTTCCAACACAGTAGGGTTCTCGCAGCCATTTCGAAGGATCGGGGATGAGTCAAATGGAACGATGGCTCCCTCCCGTGCGAAGATTGGGTATTTTCTGACGGTACGACTAAGTCGAAGTCGACGGTCTCCATCATACACCATGCCAGTGGAGAGGTCCACGTATCGACCGGGAGGAAGCCAGGCGTAAACCTCCGATCTGTGGGAATTTGGGTCGCTCGGAGTAGTAATGGGAGCAATAATGAGCTCGGAGCCAAACATATACTGATTGGGGACGTTGTAGGCTTCTTCACTGTCAGGGTAACCCCAATACATTGGCCGGACTAGAGGGATTCCCTCAATGGCTGCCCGTGCATTCATTGTGTACAAATATGGGACCAGTCGATGGCGAAGTTGGAGATACTCCGTCATCACCTGTCGATATGGCATTGCAAGGTTCCACGGTTCCTTGATGCTGAAAATGTTGTTGGATGAATGCAGTCGCAAGATAGGCGAGAAAGTGCCAAGTTGGACCCAACGAATTAGCATTTCCTCGCTTCTTTCCCCGTGAAAGTGACCGCCAATATCATGACTCCACCAGCCGTAGCCAATGTTCGAGGCAGTGGCCGTGAACTCGGGCTGGAAGTTGAGGGAGTCCCAAGTCATGCAGCTGTCCCCACTGAATCCAATGGGTAAGCGATGGCTACCAGGCCCGGCGTATCGTGAGAATGTCAGTGGCCGCTTGTTGTCAAGCGCACTATCCAGGAAGTGGTAGTGGTTCAAGACCCAAAGAGGGTCGATACCTGGGATACGAGAGTGTGTCCCTTGTTGCCAATCGACCCACCATAAGTCGAGACCTTCTTTCTCAAACCTCCGGTGCAAGACATCGAAGAAAGCATCTAGGAAGGATTGGTTGGTAATGTCGAAGGGAATGGCGTCTCCCATGGATGTATCATGGTTCAGTGCGAGCGCCATCTCTTCGTAGGGGTCTTCATAGCTTTGGACTCCATCTGCAGGATGGTCGTTCAAAGCAACGCGTAGACCCTTATCATGGAGCGCGGCTAAGAAGGCTTTGGGGTCGGGGAAAAGTTTCTTGTTCCACGTGTATCCAGTCCAACCTGTCACTCCGGCCTCTTTGACTCGAGCATCATCAACAATATGCCAATCCATGTCCAGGACTGCAACAGAAAGTGGGATGCCGTTCTCTTCGAACTTGCCCATCAGCTCAAGATAATCCTCCGAGGTGTACGCATAGTATCGACTCCACCAGTTTCCCAGGGCCCATCGAGGGAGAAGGGGCTGAGGTCCAGAGAGAAGGTAGAATGCCTGAATGGCCTGTTGGTAATCATGCCCATAGGCAAAGAGGTATCCATCTACCCGGTCCCCTGGCAACCGTGTAGTCACCCATTGGTTTTCATCAAAGAGCATGGATTTGGAGTCATCTAAAATCGCGTAGCCCTCTCTGGAGATGACACCGTGCTCAAGGGCTGTGCGTCCATCGATTTCATCCAAGGTGCGAGCTGTGCCACCAAGGTTTGAAGTTGAAGCTCCATAGCGCCAGACGCTAGAATGAGCTCCGTAGTGGCCTTTGACCACTGCACTGAGACTGCTCGGAGAGAAGCTTTGTTTGTTGTAGGTGAGGTGGAATCGAGAGGTGATGATCTGGAGGGTATTCTCGTTGTCCTTCACTCGAAACTCTGGAACAGGCAAGCATCGGTTGATTGCCAACACTGATGCCCGATCCTCGAACTGACTATCTTCAGCCCATTCGTAACGTAGGAGGCCGTCGGCCAGCAGTGTAAATCGGTATTTGCCAGTGCCGCCGACGACCGCATCGGGATTAGCGACGGGCTCATGGGGGAATGAATAGCGATGCATAACTGGAATGAAGATAAAAGATAGAGAAAAGGTGAGAAGGCAGGATGGAGAGACTATACTTTGGTCTCTCATATACACATCTTCAAACTTGACAGTTGCGGCCTCATCCCGTCATGTCACTTCTACAACCATTTCGGCGCATTTTTCGCTGAGACCTGTCCTAGTTCGAGGCACAAGCCACACAGCTATCTCGTGGCGCATCCGCATGCCACCCTCTCGCATTTTCCTCCTTTCGCACTTAACCTTTGGAGGCGTCACCCCGCGTCGACGCCAAAAGCATGCAGCAAACGCGGGGAAGAGGCGTTAAACGAGGTCGACGATTAAATTCTCGCTGCAATTCCTGGCATCGGAAAATAGTCCTGATGGATAGTCCCTGTGATAGTTGTTTTGTCCGGCGGGTGAAATGCGATCGATGTCAACCATGTCTGGCCTGCCTCACCAGAAGTCAAAAATGTACTTATGTGAGGGTCCGCAAGAAGCCAGGTCCAAAAGGAACTCGGTCGGCCACAAATCGCAAGATCGAGGAGATCCAGCGAGCCCCTGAGACAGCTGTCATGGCAGCGGCACTCCAAAGCCCCAGGGCACTCTGCTCCCCGGATTCTCGCATTTCTATAACCAACTATTGCACTGTCCTTGATATTTTCCAAGTCCATCTATATGATATATGGCCAATAGTTGACGCAGAAGATCTCAAAACACAACTGCGCGGTGACAGAAAGATCGATCCCAGTTTTCACGCACTGGCAGCAGCCTTGTGTGCTGCAACGTTGGCACAGACGCGGCTCCAGCTTACACAGGATCCATGTCCCGAAGGTCTTGCGGTGACAGTCCACGAATTCGCAAAGGAATGTCTCCGAGTTCGATTGGAACACAGCTACAACCAAGCACCATCACTCCAAGCTCTTGTGACATCGATATTTCTTCACATGTACTATGCCAACCAGGACCAGGTCACACCAGCAACCATATCGCTTCGTGAGGCAATCACTTATGCGGATCTGATGCACCTGTGTCGCGATGTACCGCCCGATGGAACACAATCGAAGCAATGGCAATTGGAACTACGGTGTTACTGGGTCTTATTCATCACGGAGAGGTTAGTATTGAGCTTTGGAAGGCACATTGTTCTAATTGACCTGGCTAGAACCTTCTGCATCCAGCATGATCTGCCGATTACCCTCTATAGGACACCCAACCTTCCCGAAGTTGAGCATAACAGTCCCAGGGGAGATCTGTATGCTGGCTTTTGCACACTCGTCCAGTTGTTTCATCATATCCAGCACCCTCTAGCTCTCCCAGCATCTACTAGCAAAGCCATCGAAGCACCGGAGATATACACCAAGAACAAAATATCAGATATTCAACATCGCATTGGGGTCAGATTGCCTGTACTTGAGCTTAAATCCGAGATTCAATATGTGGACATTCTAACTACTTCGGCATGGATCCGCTCTCTACTATGGCAATACTCTGCCTCGCACTTCATGCTCTCGTCAGCGACATCGATTGAGCCCTTGTCATTTGACTATCCACTCTCGATTGCTAGGGACTATTTGGCATCTATCTCCCATGTGTCAATTGAGTCAGTGCGTAGCCATGGATATGGAATGGTCAGTGCTCCCCTGAGAATAATCTGACAAGGGAATAACGCGCACTGATTGCAAATGCCTTTCTAGGAGATCAAGCTTCTTCAGGTCGCAAATCCTATTTTGGACTTGTTGCTTTGTATGCCAAACCTCCTTACTTACAAGGCATGTCCCTTCGGTCCACTAGATGCTGTTATTGCCATCGAGCAACTGCTTTTGAAGGTTGGCGGGTCAAATTCGGAAAGGTTAGGTCAGTTACATCAGCGGTTGAGACAAGTACCCTCCTCTATGGTTAATGTGCCATTGATGTTAGAGTCCCCTAAACAAGAGGATGAGCTGGATGACACCCTTGCTTAGTATCAAAGTAAGGATGTATCATCTATCAGAGTACAATATGCTCCCTAGCACGATAATCTCAGTCCATATGACCTATAAGTTTCAATACAATTATTAATCGCTTCAAAGAACTAAGTCAATTTATCAATTTACCCTCAGTCTCCTTAGTGTCCTGTTTGAATCAATTTTTGCCTCCTTTTTGCTCTCTTTCTATCCTGTCCAAAAGTATTAAAACTCTCATTCAGGGTTAACGTCTAAGCACAAAAAGATGAGGCCCTTCAAAAACCATTGTTTACAATACTTAAACTACGGCAGAGCGTATAGAATTCAGAAGATATTGTTTTCTTAATTTCATCTGATCTGGTTGTTATTAACATTGCTTTCGCTCAGAATTCCTTCATCCCAAGAAGCCCACAATACAGTCCCAAGCGTGTCCTCAGCCTGCTGAGAACTGCAAATTCCGACCATGGCTCAGCACGATCCACCAAGTCCCATGTATTGGCAGCTAACCACATTCTGGTAGCTAGTACTTCTCAGAAAAAGCAGTTGCATCGGAAACAACCTCAAAGTTAGCAGACCGGAACGGCGTAACCTCAAACTTGGTGAACTTCCGAGCAGGAACCCTCTTCTCGAACAAAATATCAAGCTCGGCGGGAGTCCGCCCCTTAGGCTCAGGAAGGCGGAAGAAAGACCAGACAAAGCAGATAAGACAAAGAGGAGCCCAGATAAAGCCACCCTTGCCCTTCAAATTCCACGCCAACGGGTTGAGGATCGGAGGGTTCAGGAAATTGGCGACAATACTGGCTACATTGTAGCAGTCACGAGCAAGCACAGTACTCTTGATTCGAAGGCGAGTAGACGGGATCTCAGAAATGAGACAATAGGTCACAGGGCCAACGGTCAGGTCATAAGTGAAGACGAAAACCATCAACAGAGCAGCTGAGGCGTAGCTGATTCCTGCGTTCTTGCCACTCGGGATACCGAGGAATCCAACCAGCATCAAGATGGAGAATAGGATACCAAGACCGGTAACGAACAACTTGCGGCGACCGACTCGCTGCATCACAAACCACGAGCAAACAGTACCACACCAGCCGACGGCGTTCAATCCGAGTCCAAAGTTGAAGGCTTGTTCGTTGCTGAAGTTAATTTGCTGGAGGAAGTAGACGATGTTGCCTCCATACCAGATACCGCAGAAGACTTGACACATCCAGACGCAGCAAACGATCTCAGTGCGGCGAAGGTCGACTCCCTTGAAGCAATCCCAGTATGAGACACCTTCCCGAGAGAGTTTTTCGTTGGCGTTTGTAAGGATCATCAGTGCAACGGCATCATCAGCATCGTATTCCGAGATACCAGGTCTAGACAGTCGATTGAGAGACCTCTTTGCATCCTCAGTTCTTCCATTTCGAACAAGCCACCAGGGAGACTCGGGAGCGAAGAGGACACCAATGATGATAGGAACAGGCCACACCCATTGGATTGCGTATGGAATGCGCCAGCCCCATTGATCAGTACGGCCCAACAATCCGCGCAGGATTCCCGCGGAGATGAACTGGCCGGTGACCCAGCAGAGGTTGACGTAGGTTGTCAGGTATGGTCGAAGGACGATGGGACTGACTTCGGCGGCATACGTGGTTGTTAAAGTTTGAAAGGCTCCCCATGGAATACCGCAGAGGACTTCAGCAACTAGCAACATGATGATATTCTGGGCAAAGAACATGAGGAAGATAAAGCAACTCAAGGCAAGCAAGGCACCCAGCATAGTCTTCTTGTAGCCCCAGCGGTCTGCAATGAGACCAGCAAAAATCAGGCCCAGGATCTGTCCCACGTTGGTTCCATTCTGCAAACCAGTTTGCCAGTTGGAGGTAACTTGGTAACCGTTTGCTTCGGTGTGGACTCCGAATTTCTCACGGAAGGTTGGGTAGGCGTAGAAGGAGCCGAGGAGGGAAGTGTCATATCCCTCCATAATAATGGCAAGGGACAGGATAAGCGAGAATCCGATGGCCTTAGGAAAGATCTTGAAGGCATCGCGGTTGGTCAGGTTATGCTCAAATTTGGATGCGCGATGAGCTTTTTCGACGACGTTGACGAAATTGGGGATCTGCTCGGACATTTGCAGAAGAGCTTCATCGTCGATTCCGATTGTATTCTCGCCCAGCGACTGGGTTGGTACCGCGAGCTTGTGCTCGACATGAGCTGTCGCCTTGGAATCCATGGCTAGGGATAGACTCGGCTACCAAGATGGAGAGGACAAGGTAGAGCAGTTGGGATCTGAGATGAGGTCTCTGAGATGGAGGAGGAATGAGGGAAAGGAAGCCCAGCTCGTTTATATCAGTTTTTGCCCTACCTGATCTGACATTACTTGCGCTACACTTGTGGAACATAGGCTTGGATATTCACCACATGGTCGCTCGAACTTCTGCTCTTTAACTTTCGCGGGGTTTTCTGGGGAAATACAGTTAAACGCCTCTTGAAAACGCCTCTTGCAAACTTTCCGGGATGGTTAGTTGATTAGTGGTTTGAAAAAAATAGTTAATACGTTTTGAGCAGCCAAAGCCCTCGCTGTGATTTTCGGTACGACTCAGCAACCGCGAGGGGCTTATGTTCAGCAGATCTGGTGAAACCTGGAGGTGGCGCAAACGTGACTTGAGGGCGCCATTGGCAAACTAAGGAGGATCTGCAAGTATCAAACCTTCGAAGAGTCCGATCGATACATACAAAAGTGACTGGTTGATCCCGTGGTCCAACGCGCTAGAGTAAGTTCAGCCACGAAGCCCTTTGGCCGAGGTTGGGGATTTCAGCGAGGGCAGTCTGTGGCGTACATCTTGCAAGTATTGGTGTCAAGAGATCTCATAAAGTAATATTCTATACGCATCAAAGCGCCGTTGTAAATGTCGCTATGTTTTTCGGTGTTCGAAATCCTGTATTGGGCCTATATCCATAGCCAAAAGGTCACACTACAGACAGAAAGAGGTCATAGCATATGTCCCGTGTTCGCCGATTTAATGTAACCTCCTATCCCCTAATTCTATTGCCCTGGCATCTGACTCTTTAGCTAGAATCTCTGCCTTGGGATCACCATATTCTGCTGTAATGGTGGGGGATCTTCATGCTCTAAACGTCACTACCATCAGTATGGTAGGAATAGCATATATATATATAGCTTATAGGATACTGTAAATTGAATGGGTTATTGCTTATCAGAGCTTCTACAGAAGTCAACCATTGTATTGGAATCCTTTGATCATGCATTATTCTACTCTACTGCTTTTGGGGCTTTATCACCCTCTCGTCGGATCTGCAGCAGTGATATCCGGGCGCTCCATTGCTCAGGGCTGGTCTCTTCAGGCTAGCGCATGCCCTAGCGGAGCCCAATCCTGTGGCGCTAGTGCAGGCTCTGCTACTACTGCGAGACTTGTATGTTGCTCAGAGAAACGGTGCTCTGAAACAAGATACTAACTACTCCGTACTAGGTATCTGCCGGAACTGGAACTACCGCTACTACCACAAGCGCTACCATTAAAGGTATTTCTTCAAGCTCAATGGAACAGCTTCAGTGGCTAACAAAAGGCCTAGGCCCTACTACCACCGCTACCATGACATCTGTTAAGTCTACCGCAACTACTGCGACACAGCCAAGTAGCACCAAGGCCGTTTTTGCGCACTACATGGTAATCTTCAAAGTTCCAAATCCATGAATTGACCAGAAACTAATGACAGATAGGTCGGCTCTATGACTTCAGAACAAGCCGTCATTGATGTGAAAGATGCTATGAACGCAGGATTCGACGGTTTCGCCCTCAACACCCATACAATCAGTGCATCGGATACTTGGAATATCAATGCGCTAAACTATTTATTTGCGGCTGCATCTGGAACCAGCTTCAAGTTATTCGTCTCATTTGACATGAGTTGGGGTTTGGATGTTACGAAGCTTGCGGACTTTTTGGCACCATATGCCACCCAAGACGCATACTACAAAGTCAATGGCCAAGCCTTCGTTAGCACCTTTACTGGTGGCACTATCTCCAATGCGCAATGGGATTCTGGGTTCATTCAGCCTCTAACCTCGACATATGGGATCAAGCCGTTCTTTGTTCCCGACTTTGATGACTTCTCTGGCTATCCCAATGGTGTTTTCAGCGCTTATCCAATTCTCAATGGTGTCTTTAGCTGGGAGACTGCGTGGCCATCGCCAGGTACTACTCCCACCAACGTCACCAGTCAGGTTGATTCAGCTGCTTTGCAGCAAGCTCATGCAGCTGGAAAGGTCTACATGATGCGTAAGTAATTCGAACACATCTATAACGAGGAATAAACAGCTAACCAAATTGAAAACAGCAATGTCGCCATTACAATTCAAGTATATGGGCAGCGGCCAGAACTGGTATCGCATCGGCGAAGTTAATCTGCCAGAGCGCATGGCCCAGGCCTTACAGCTTCAGCCCGACTTCGTGGAAATTATTACCTGGAATGATGCTGGGGAGAGTCACTATGTCGGTGACTTTTGGCAAGAACAGATTGCAGGCAGCAATATTGGCAACTATGCCAACGGGTACGACCACAAGGGCTGGCTGCAGGTCATTGCGCCGTTTATCAAAGCATACAAGGCCGGTGCGACGAGTATATCTCAGATTGTTCCGCCAAGCTCTAAGCCTGTTGGTGCGTTTTGGTACCGCACTCTCTTGACTACTGCTAGCTGCTCTTCTTCGATTTCTAATTACCAATCGGCTCGTGATGCAACCAACTTTGCTGTTATCTTGCCTTCTACTGGTTATACCATCAAGGTTTATAGCAACAGCAAACTGATTGGAAGTTATGTTGGTCAGAAGGGTTTGAATTATAATAGTGTCTCGGGACTTGCTGTTGGGAGTGGGCAGATGATTCAGATTATTGATGATTCCAATAACATTGTTGCATCGGCGACTGGGACCAAGAGTGTTTTGGCAGAGAGCCCCAATGCTACCTGCAACTGGAACTATGAAGTTGTGGGGCTCTCTTGAAAGTCTGGCTGTGGAATGCCAGGGTTCTGTGGCTGATATTCATTTGCTGTTACTTATAAATTGAAATGATTTGCAGACTTTTCCCACGATATACAACAGTTTAGGGGCAGTTTGAACACTTCGTCAGTATTCTCCAGATAATCTATCTAATCTATACGTAAAAGATATCAACTAAGGCCACACTTCTATACCACATTCAACCATCATTCCACCCTGTTGATAGTCTGACCAATACACCACTTCTCGACTGTGATCTTGCAAGAAGCCTCAAGATTGTGCAGTGTTCTTTCGGCATACCACGCAAGATGAGGGGTCAAGACAAGGTTCAACGACGCCGCTTCCGGGCTTAGCAAAGGCGAGTCTCCTCGTCCAGCAGGCTCTTTGACATAAACATCCGTGGCTGCTCCAGCGATTTCATTTCGTTTGAGAGCATCCAACAGAGCGTGCTCATCGACAATCCCACCTCTGGCGACATTGATCAGCAGAGCATGAGAGGACATCATCTCAAACTCGGCAGTGGAAAGCATATTTAGTGTTTCAACGCTCCGTGGAAGACATAAAATAAGAACAGTCGATTGCTTCAGAGCGTCTTCGAATCCCACCCGACCCGCTCGAGGGAAGACGCCCTTGCGCTCGGCTATGATGACGTTCATACCAAGCGCTTTGGCCAAAGTCTCAATGCGCTTCCCCAACATTCCATATCCAATAATGCCTACAGTCTCATCACTACACAGTGACGGGGCCTTGCCACTTGGCGAACGGACTCGACTGAGTAACGACCCGTTCGTCTTCCACTCAGTATCAAGGGATGGATCATCAGGCACCGCAATAGTATTATTATGCAACTCGATGAACTTCCGCCGGGAAGCAAAGTAAAGACCAATAGCATGCTCACTGACACTATCGATATTCGAGCCAGGACAATTGCAAACAGTAATTCCACGGGCCGAGGCGGCCGCGATATCGACACAATCCGTGCCGGTCGCCATAATCACAATGAGACGAAGTTTCGGGGTGACTTCGGCACTGAGGGTCTCTGCCGAGAGTTTAATAGTGGTGGTCACGACAATTGTGGCATCTTTGAGGCGACTGGGGAGGTCAGAAGGGTTGGTCCATCGGTGAACTTCCCGGGTATGTGGCCCTGGCAGATCAAATTGCGGGATTGGGCAATGGACAGCCTCAATCGCGACAATGTGGTGTTCTTCGGCCATAATCAAGTGCGAGGTGGTGCGGGGTCGGGATATGTGTTGAAGGATCAATTCATCGGATCGTTAACGCGTATACTATTTTCCCGCGATAACCGCGAAACCCGCCAGACCCGCCCCGGGAAAAGCGATGATGTCCGAGGTTAGCCGAGACGGATCTCGGGGATTGAGAGGACGGGACATCGCTTCGCCAGTCATATAAGGGATATTACTCCACATGGACATGGAGAGGGTCCGTTTATGCGTTTTAAGGCCAGCGAAAGAGAGAAACCTGCGGAGTTGAAACGTCGCTCCCCGTATGACGTGTTAAAATACCGAGATTAGCCGAACGATATTGATTGCTGATATCAAATTGGGTCTGCTACTATATAAGCTGCGAGGGATTCGTTGAATTTGTCAGGAATTCGTTGCTTATTTTGGCATTCGATCATATCTGCATCATGTCCGAGGAAAAGGCACCCTACGGTAAGAAACTCATCATCAAAGCCTGTCCAGCGGCGTATACTGACTCATCGCCAGTGACTCTCGATGTATTCTCATCGAAGAGGTATAGCTTCCTCCATCAGAGTATGAATATAGAAATGGTCAATTAACACACAGAAACAGATTCAAAGGAAACCCCGTTGCGATTGTGAAGGTCACCGACAGCAAGCTGTCACAAGAACAGAAGCAAAAGATCGCCAAAGAGTTCAACTTTTCCGAAACCGTCTTCTTCCATCCGGCCAATGGAGATGAGCCTCCTCGGGTGTACATTTTCACGCCCGTCAATGAGATGGACTTCGCCGGCCATCCCGTCATTGGCGCTGGCCATTTTCTGTTCCGCCAATTGTTAGGAAACGACCCAAGTCGTCCAAAGTCTCTCACCATTACCACCAACGCGGGGCCTGTTCCAATCACATATGATCCAGAAAATGAGGTTGTATCCGCCGAAGTCCCTCACAATATCCATCAGCATCAGCAAGGGGCAACGCTGGCCCATATCCTGCCAGTCCAAGCCAGCCTGAAGACGGTCTCGGACCTCCATGGTGTACCAAAGTCATCACCAGTAGTCTCTGTGGTAAAGGGTGTCACGTATGCACTAGTGGACCTGACCGAGAGAGCGGATCTGTTTGCCAATATTGTTCCGGGGGAAGTCCTGCTCTTGATCTTGATGAGGGATGGAAGCCCTCATTCACTGGGGTCATGTACTACCGGAATGGCGGGTCTCGCATCGAAGGAGACACAGTGATCTGGGATCTTCGGGTGCGAATGATCGCTATCGATTTGGAAGATCCAGCTTGTGGTAGCGGAGGGAGCTCCTTGGGTGTTTACCTCGCGTTGTTGAACGGTCAGCAGGGTCAGAGCCACCGGTTCTATATCGATCAGGGCATTGAGATGGACAGGGAGAGCCACCTCATTGTTGATGTGCTGTTGGATGATGATAGGAAACGGGTATCCACTATCAAGCTTGCTGGACAGGCTGCCTTTGTGGCGGAAGGGAGTATCTTTTTGAATTGAGGAGGCTCTAATTTCTCATCATAGCTCGGTATCGTACATTGATGTCCCCAAGGCTGCTTTGATTCACAAACTCGTTGTTGATAGTACTTCTAGGCAGCGCTGGCTTGCTGTTACGCGGATTTGTGTCCTACGATTTATCGCGAATATAATATGATCAAATTATTCAATTTTGCGGCGCGAAGTAACTGGAGCGATTGATAGTGGCTCCCACCCATGTCTCCCTGCATTCACTCTTTTTTTTAATTTTTCTTCTTTTTTTCTTTGCTTCCCGCCCTTTGTATTCGCATTGATCTTCAGCCCCATCACCCACCTCCCCTCGAGAAGACAAATCACAAGGCCGAACGCGAGAGGTGAGGGAAGGTAGGTGATTGTGAGTGGCCAAGGATCCGTCAGTGTAGGCTCACTTCGGCCGACCAGGGCACGTCAAGCTACAGAGGTAGTTAGTATCACTTTCTGAACGTAGAATAGAGCGTAAGTTAGATCATACCCCTTCAACCCAGAAGCTCGAGGCACCGGTGAAACGGCTCTGCAGGTGTGTGGCCTGCCAGTAGTCAAGCTTGTCGCCATCCTTCTCAGGGTAGATCTGAGCCCCCTGGTACCAGTAGCTTATCGCCCCCTTCTCGAATTTCTTGTCAGACTGGTAGGCCTCCATGAGGCCGTTGATGTTTGGCATTTGCTCGTCGTGGTCGCCATTGAGCTCCAGCAAGTACTTGGTCGCCTTGAGGAATGACAAGCGTTGGACGACTGGCCATGGTAGGCCTGATCGCTCGGATGCGATCATCTGGCTGCAATTTGTCAGTTAATTGTGCCCTCATTGAGTTCGCGAATATTCGAACCTTCGACGCTGGAGAAAGTGCGCCAGTCTGTGGCGGAATATATCGGGCATGATTGCATCTCTGATTCTTTCACGGCAGCACGCAATTTGGCCGTCCACATCACTGTTTTTGGTATTAACAAATTAGAAACATGCGGTTAGACGTTTGTATTGTGAAGGAAGGCGTAACCATACTCTTTGTGGAGATCTGGCTCACAGGAGCTCCAGCCTTCGGGCACATCTGTGATGTTTGTGATGGGGCCCCCCGTGTGAATCCATCTTCTTCTGCGAGACTTGGTTTCGGTGGGCATTTAGGATTGATATCTGATATCGGATGTTGGGTTGCTGTTATGGGATTCGAAGATCTGGTGCGAAGGGATTCGATTCCTCCGAGACGGGTGGTCATAAAGGAAGGATGAGAGTGAGGGACTGGAACTGAGATCCTGCAATCGAATATCAAAAGGACGCTAGCAAGTAGGCACGCGACCTACTTCCTAATTCACTGGGTTGAATATTTGCTAAGCTGCTACGCGTGGTTAGGACAAGCTGCTTTCGCTCGTCGCTAGCCCTAAGCCAGGCTTGGGCATTTGTCATTTTGAACATTGTCAAAAGTTTGTGCAATGCCTATCTATTAACGTCTAGAAAGTGTTTATAGTAGGCCTATGCGAGTATAAGGAATGCTCTGTAGTCCTCCCGGCTTGGTTTTCCGTTAATGGGCAATTCACATACAGATATCATGAGGCCTGCAATCTCCTACACGGCCTAAAACCTGCACCTAATAAAACACGGTATGGAAGCGCATATCTAGTAACATTTTTGTTCTCAGTTCAACTTCTTAGTAAATCCTTCGTCAATCACCCGAAGTCCTCCCGTCATGGTATACCAATTCCAAGTATTACGGGATGCCAGGAGCTATGAAAATCTCAGCCATTTCTAGTCAGGAAAACAAGTTCAAGATTGATGATGTACTTGCCGGTATCGACGGTAGATCCATTCCGGATGTATTTAATTTGGATGCCCTAGACTGAGTGAGAAATCCCTTACGTGTAGTGTGATTCAACAGGCGTACCAGTGTGATATATCCGAAGACGCCATTCGCGTAGCTAACGCCACCAAGAGGCCCAATGTCTAGAGTGGCCATTGCTCCAGCTATGTTTCCTTATGTTAATTGACACAATCGCTAGCACGGAGATTGCGAGGTATAGAGCTCGGGGCACATACCACCCGATTCCACGTGGAAGGTTCCATCGGCATCGTTCTTGATTCGTTCGAGGGTGATATGGCTAGCATAAGGCTCCGCGGCCATGATATCCTGTTCGACTGCTTCTTCGATTATTGACTAGCCTGTACTCACGATCGGTCCTTGGAAAAGTGTACTGTTGGCCCCGATTGTCCAGTTGGTGTGGACTTGAACGTGGATGTGAATTGCACGCTCGGCCTATGGATCAAGTATAGGTATTTCGTCGTTTTATGTTGGATGTTGAGGACTATGCATTAATAAAATCCAGGGAAGATAGTAGCGAACAAGGTGACGCCATGGTTATCTGTGGGCCACATAGCCCGAACCCAGGTTTCCTGTCGGTCGAAAGCCACTGGGCTTAACCCTCAGTATAGCACTAGTGCCATGCTTACAAGATGTCACATACTGTAAGATCGGGGAGGCCTTCGTGGATATCCAAGATTTTCCCACCACTTACATTTCTATATTGATCCTCGAATGTTATATCAGGCAGGATCCTGGTAAATGAGGAATGCTAATTTGGAAATGAGTTTTAGTTTGTTTCCGGGGATTAACCAAAGTTAAATAGATCTCGCATAAACCACTCACCCAGATACCAACCAGGACACCCTCCAACGGCTCGCAGGCGTCAACATCAGTGACACCTGTTTCCAAAGACAGAGGTATACCAGTCTGGTCGTCGTCGTATGTTTTGGCGAAGAGTATGGCGTTGGGAGTAAATTAACGGTCCGGTAGTAGCCTCTGGAAAAAGTACATTGGTCCAATTCCTGAAAAATTGTACTTGGGAGCCTCCGTATGCATGCCATAGAAGGTCTCCTCCTCGTCACGGCTAGAGTGGATTTGACAGGGGAAAGCTGTCGCCATTGTTTCATCTCGGCAACCTCACTGCTATTTATTTGCCAGATAGTCAAGAATCGCGGGCGAGTCACTACCGTTTAAGGCATGAGGATGGGCCATAGTCAGCAGACTGATAACAACAGGTCCTCTCGTCACAGATCACAGCCTAGACCTCCCCTATACCGGCTGCAAACACACAGAAGTATGCGAGAGCAAAAAAGGCAGTTCTCAGGGCCATGCTTTCAGAATATTATCTGTTCCGAAGAGCGGGGCTTGATCATATGATGCGTAATGTTGGATGTTACTAAAGGTTCTTCGTGCGTTGTCTGTGTCGCAGCTTTGTTCGAACATATCACCTGCATCAATTAGCGGTTTCGTGACGCTGGACTCGTATCTTTTAGTTGATATATCTTTTGTACCAATGAACGGTGCCATAGCAATAATGTCCTAAGTGGGATTCGTAGTCTTTCAGCTTGGTGCACAAACAGTACCGCCCACCAAGACGTACTAGGATCAATAAGGCAGAAGGCTGAAGTGCAACAATACCGAACGGTCGAATTTTGAATCGTCGTGCATCAAAAGGACTGAGAAAATAGATAAAAATAATGAGTTTATTAGATTGGAACAATATTAGAAACAGTATGCTCTCGATAGAGTGTGAGGAAATGATATGAACACTGCTCAAATACTTGATAGTAGACCCTGTATCGTCTATGAGACATTATTCCCTTCGTAAAATCACAGACCCTTTCCAAACAACTCTTCTCCGATCTCTTTTAGTAGAGGCTCTTTTTGTACAGCATGGATGTTCATCTTTGCAGAAATCGTCTCCGGCACACTCATGGCACGACAGAGATCAATCAGAGATCCGTCCATCGGGGCTTCATAGACAAGCAACCCGAGTGCGAACAACAGCCCATGCAATGATTCAACACTCTCCTCCTCGCGAATGACCGCCTCAAGCAGGGAGGCTGTCAGCTCGACCTGATCTTCTTCAGAGATAGGATCAGGCTTATTATTGAAGCGTGAGTTGTGGTTGAATGATGCAAGGTTATATGCAAAGGATGCTGCAACGACACGGAGGCTGGTCTGTGAGTCTAAAAGGGAGTTGGTTGCGAGGCGGAGACAGGTCTCGCGTAGCGGGGATGAAGATGAGGTGAGTTGGTCTGGGTAGAGAGGAGTGCTGAAGAGATTGCAGGCCAGTTGTAGAGCCACGATACGTAGATTGTATGGGCAGGAGGCGGTATCATCTTGGGAGAGCGGGTCAAGCAGGGTGAGGAGAGTTTCGTGTTGCGCTTCTTCGGCGAAGTAGCCGCTCACACGTGGGTCGAGCAGTAGTAGACGTACCAAATCAACCACTGCGAAATGACTGCCGCTAGGTAGCGTCGAGTATTTGAGCTTCAAGGTCGTTGCGAATGAGTGCAAGTCGGGGACACGGATATCGGCTACCGGTGTCGCAGAGTGACGAAGCTTGACAAATTCAATAATCTCCGCAACGCTTTGTGCTTCTTGGAATTCAGCTGGTAGTTTCTGGATGAGCTTTTCAAGCGGCGGAGCCTTCTTGTACGTGACAAAGTTCTTGATATCGCGCTGGAGGCTGGGAAGTCGTAGTTGGCGATGGGGGTGAGCTGGTCGGGCAATCGGTTGGGTTGCAGCATGGGGAGCCCTCACTGTTGATGGTTGAGCACTTGGACCAGGAACTCCCATTTGGCCGGTGCCCTGGGTGACGCCTTTGAGAGCCATCTCGATTTGGGGTTTCATCATTTGCCCAAACGGAGTTTCAAGGAATGTTTGAGGTAAATTGCGGATGTGCTCTGGAATAGATTTGCCAACAAGGAACATCGAAAGATCCTGTGTAAAGTTGTTGCAATTGTGAAGAAAGAGATCATAAGACTGAATCTGGTCAGATTTATTCGTTGTAGAGGGCAGTGCATCTTGGTGGACAAACCTCAGGGGTGTAGATGCTAGCCAACGAGCCCAAGTATTCTTCAACAACTTCATTAGGTAGTTCAGTAGTACCCAATGATTCGACTTCCATGGGCTGGCCATGATGAGTTGTGCCTGGAACTGCAGTCTGGATACCTTGGCCGAAGTAATATTCAACGCCATTGAGCACGATGGATGTATGATAGATGGCATCCATCTGCGTACCTGTCAAAACAGCCGAGTACTATCAAGATTAGGGCCTGCTCTTTTTGAGTTGCTAGTTGCACATACCATTCGTGCCAGACCCTACATTCACGGTCAGTTGTTATCCACAAGCAGTAAAGGCATATAGGGACTCCCACCTTTGACAAGTCATAGACATATAGCTGGACGTCCATTTTAAACGATGTAGAAGTAAAATATTGTGTAAAGTACGAGTGCGTAATCTGGAAGATGTCAACAAGATAAAGAAGTTTACCTGCGCAGGCTGCAATCTGATCACGTCAGCATTGTCACGGGCAGCCTTCGAGCCCTACTATCGCTTTCGATCATTTTCCATAACACTCACATCTTATTGCTCGATATTACAGCTATTGTAATGAAAATCAGATTAAACTCAAATACTTGTGGCTTTACCGTTAGACAGGTCTTCGGGGGAGAAGGATGACAGATCTGTAGTCTTGGATTTGTTGGTATAATCGCTAGAGGCTCTGGCGGTGACGAGCTTCGCATGGGAGTCCATTGTTATGGAGAAGGGTTATATTGTTAGGAGGGAGGTATTAGGAAAAGGTTGGCAGTAATACAACTCTGTCAAATATGAATTACTATTTTTGCAGTACGCATTGAGTATCAGATATTGATATCGGATACCAGTATTCTGAGGATGTCTCCAACGCTAAACTTGTCTGTATATTAGCTTTTTAGCAATATATTGTCATAGTATGCTACTGTTGAACAAAGAGACTCCGACTATCCATGGACTTTGTGTTCCTTCATACAAAACAAGGTAACGGAGCGGGCATGATTCATAGTCCATTGTCCATAGTCAAGCATTCTCCAATTGGAGCCCGTCTCCCCACCTCCACTCCAACCCAAATCCCAATCTCATCAAGATATGCACATACCTTAACCCCAAAGCTATAAATCCTGTGTTATTCATCGAGATGGTAAGCTGTCTGACAATCCTCGGAATTCATATCTTAACTAACCCCACCCCCATAGCCCCCCAAGAGGCGTGGCGCACTCGCCAACACCTCCGCACCGCCAAAGCGCGGGCGCGCATCCAAGCTCGCGAAAGAGAACAACATAACCGCAGAAGAAGAAAACGAAATAAAAGAAGTCTTCCAACTATTTGCAGCCGCGAACGAGGCCTTCTCCGATGAGAAAGAAGGCGTCATTCCACGGGAAGACGTGCGCAAGGCACTGGTGTAAGCCGCTCTCTCCAACTCCGCGAGATACCGATTTCCGATGCCCACATGCAATCTACAACATGAATAGCATTCATTACCTCTCATTGCCGGCTGTGCCCCTGTCGTGACCGACACTAACAAATATCTCTAAACAGAGCCCTCGGCCTCCCACCCACCGACTCAAGCGAGCTTGCCGAAATTCTCTCTGCGCTGGATCCAACCACCTGCGGATTTATACCCTATAGTCCATTTGTCTCGATAGCAGCGGCCAAACTGCGCTCCCGCGACGATGATGCCATGGCTGCCGAGGTGGATGATGCGTATCAGTTATTTACGCATGGCACGGATGGACCGATTACGCTGTCGCATCTGCGGCGCATTGCACGCGACTTGAAGGAGGATAGTGTTGGGGATGATTTGCTTAAGGATATGATTCTCGAGGGGAATGGAGGTGCTGGGTTGAGTGCTGGTGTTACTCTGGAGCAGTTTCATGATGTCATGAAGAGGGCTGGTGTGTTTTGAATGGGATATACATCTCGGGGCATGGGGTGTTTTATTGGTTTCTTGAACATAGGGCGTGGAATTTTCGTTTTGCCTTGGCTTTTTCGTTTAGCAATAGGAGTCGGCGGTTCATTTTTGTTGACTTGGTGGGAGGGAACTTGAACCAAAAGTAATTGGCCTCCAATAGGCTGTACGAAATATGTGCTGCAAGATCAATTGCCCATTTGTAATGTTCCATGTTGTGATTGTAGATACATGCTTCCCTCCATCAGCCGGCGCGTAATAGTCAAAGAATTAAGCTCGGTACTAGCAAAAGAAAAAAAGGAAAAGAAACAACCATCGAAAATAATCAAAAGGAGGATAATAGAAGATATGACCCGCGCATCAACCATCAAAACCCCCGGGAATAACGCGAACCTGTATCATGCGGAAGCAGCGATGAAGCGAAGTGAGAGTGGCGACTGAGTCTCCTACGAGATCTCGTCGTTCATCGCCAGATCTCCGCCGTTGGCCTGGGGGGCAGCACCGTTCACGGGGGCAGCGTTCTCGGCGGGAGGAGCATCGGTAGCGAAGTAATCCATCATATCAGCGTCGAGCTCCTCAACAGTCTTGGGCTTTCCACGGCCAGGGTTGCGACCACGACGGCGGGCGGCGCCCTTGCCACGGCCCTTGGCATTCTCACTGTTAGCCTCGTTGGCCTGGGTGTTGGTCTGGTTGCTTTTGGCCTTGGTGGCAGCGGCGGACTTGGGGCGGGCCTTCTGACTATGGAGGAATGAGTAAAGAGACTCGGTGAGAATTGGGTATGAACTTACGCAACGCGCTCCGTCAGAGGCTTAGCAGCAGGAGCGGTAGGAGCGTGAGAGGCATCGTAAACGACCTCGATCTGTTGCGCGGATTAGTTGATGCTGCAAGATTGGATTGAGGTACTGAAATTTACCTTCATGGGACGACCATCAACGAGGAGGCCATTAAGATCCTTGGCGGCCTTGGCAGCGGTGTCTGCCTTGCCAAAGATGATGGTGGCGATACCACGGCTGCTGCCATTCTGGTTGTAAGTGAGCATGACCCGCTTGACGCTGCCAGCGGATTTGGTGAAGTATTCCTAAAGCGCAAATAGACACGATCAGTATTTTTGCGTCATAAGGTTTGAGCGACGAGAACTGTTTTCGAGTGTCGTAAGAAAACAATGGCGGTGGCGCAAACGAAGACGGCGAGTGTTCCAACAGCGAAAGAGCATCAGCGAGCATCAGCAGTTATCCGTCGTCCTTTCATCCCAACTCCCGAGACGTGTAATACACCGTTTCCATTATCTGTAACGTTGTTGTAAAACGCGCACCCCCGTCTGGCAAGTCGCATGCTTGCCTACCGCATTGCGATACCGTGTCCCCTGGTGCAAACATCCATCCAAGGTGTATTCACGTCCCGGCATATTCCGTAATTCCTCCTTAAGGGTATAATCAGCCCTCCCAGCAAGAACATCGGCTCACGTCGCTACCATCGACGTGAACCCAGCCCACTGTGCCCGTAAATTAAGGGGTCCACTGGCCTTGCTGTGCATCTTCCGAAGCCCACAGATATGATGTCATGTAAACCACGACGCTGAAACCCTCGGAGCCACTGTGTCGGGTAATCACCCCATAGAGCAGTAGGCTCTTCACGGAGAGATGTTTCAAACATGACTCATGAGAATTGAGGTTTTTTGTTTGCCCCTGAACCAATTTCCCGCTGCTTCACTGATGCGCTCGCTGATGCTCCTCTGGTCCGCAGAGCGGGATAGATGAAAGATATGGACAGGGTTGAAAGAAACAAGGATGATGATTTCTCATGTAGCATCCCAGGCACAGTACTCAGAACGCAAGGCAAGCGGATTTCCGTGTGGGATCCATCGCTTGCCGAGTGCATCTTTTCACCGTACTGCGACAGAGCTCAACCTCCGGCCTCGCAAAGCGCCAGCAACCACAATTCGCGGAGGCATTTGGGAAGGAGTAGACTGTCTGTGCCATGAACATCGAGGAAGATCCAGCGATGTGCGAAAATAAAAAGGTGACGAGAAGTCGAAAGGCGAGTCGAGTTCGTTTGCGCCGCGATTTTCTCGAAAACAGAGACGGCGATGAAAGCCAAAGTGAAGGCCTCTAGATCAACATACCTTGATATTGGCCTCGGAAACATCGGCAGGCTGATAAGGTTAGCAACTGAACGGCACGATCGAGACACAAATAGTCAGAACGTACCAATCCACTAACGAGGATCTTGCTGGAAGCTTGAACAATAGGAGTGGGATGAGCAGGCTTGGGGGCAGCCTTGGTAGATTTCTTCACGCCTCCGACAGCGGGTTTGGTAGCGGCGCGGCGGCCACCAGCGCGGCGGCGAGTGTTGCGAACGTTCTGGCGACGGCCACTGACGAGATCGTCAAGGGACTTGTCGAGGTTGGCAGACATGGTTGCGATGGTAGTAAAGAGTGAAGCTGGCGATTTGAAAGAGATATCACGCGCGACTGATGCCTGATATGCGACCTGTTGAAGTCACCTTGGGATAAAGCGAAGATCGATCACTTCTCGAAATTTGATGAGAAGATGCGAAAAGACGCGATTTGTGTCTGAAAGAACAACTTTCAGGAAGGGAAGGATAGATGGGGAGATGGAACTGGAAGGATGAGGAGGGAAGGGAGAGGGAGGCAGTGTCAAGCCCGGCGCACTAAGCCTCATTGGGCCGCAAATGATGTTACTGCATTTATGGCGGGTAGCAACGGCAGAATCTCATTCGCTGCCTCAGCCCCCCGAACTGCATGTTTGGGTTTATTGACGTGTTTTATTTGAGTTCATGTAAAACATTGTTAGCCATCGTTAATGGCTTTATTGTGATTTCTATCCAGCGGAAGAATGAATCGATTATATGTAGGCCCAGCCTTGGAAAACAGATTGTATAGAACGGCAATGCAACCAACGCCAGCAATAAATCAAAGTAACAAAAGATAGGCAACTCTCTGGAGTGGTAGACATGAGTTAGCTCCTGAGAGCCTCCAAGCGGCCTCGCATTTGCTCCAGAGTAGCTTCTTGGTCTTCGAACTCTTCCTCGGCTTGTGGGGATTCCGGCTCTGAGATCTTGTCCACAGGAGGTGCCGTGACGGGTTGTGCCTGGGAGAGCTTTCCCTGTAGAACTTCCTGCAAGACCTTATCAATCTCCGAGTCTGCTTCTTCTTCTTCCTCCTCTTCGAACATTGCCGGGTCGGTGATGGCATCATCGACCATCTCTTCAATAATGCCTGCCCTGACTAACTCCGAAGACAGCTGGTGCATCGTAGCAGATAACTGCGGTAGCCGGACAAGTGTGTTGACATCCTTCATGATTCCAGTCGACTTTTGAAGGCTGCCTTGGATTTTACGCGCCGAGAAGGCTTCGTTGACTTGCATTCCGACACTCTGTAGTTGAGCGCGGCTGGTATGCAACCGAGCGGTTTGTTTTCGAATGCGCACCAGCTCCCTCGCAAAGGTCTTAGTGTCACGGGTGGCCTGTGTGGCCTGAGACGGATTTCGCTGAGCCCGTTTGGAGGCGTTAACGATGTGCTGCCGAGTCTGGCTATCCGCAGTTTTCAACCGGGTTAGATCGCGGTCAAGTTGGCGTGTATTAGAGCGTATTAAAGCATTGCATTTTCTCATCTGATAATACGAGTTGTGCGTCAGTGACATATTCAAGGCATGAACCGGCCGCTTCATGTGCTTACCTGGGCTTGCGGGTCAGGCCCAAAGAATACCGCCTTGAGACTCTCCATGATCGCAGGATCGCAATAAAATGGCTTGTATTTGGCGACAATACTATCAAGTTCGAATAGGTGGAAAGTCCAATCGTGGACAGTGGTCACAGTAGGTATGATCAGCGATAAGGCTCAGGCTCGGTGCATTGTCCTTGAGATAGGCGGGGCACTAGGCAGGTTGTGTGCAGTTTTTGAAATGGGCCGGGTTATAACCATATACAGGAGAGCAGGACCTTTCTCAAAGATCAAGATTGCCCCTCAGACCCTTCTCTTCTGATCATTAGATGACCTCGGAGGCAACACTTCACGGGAGCGGGCCAGGAAACGGCTGAGTCAGTTCTGACATAATCAGAATGAGGGGGTTTCTCGGCCTCAGGCAAGGGAAGGAACAAACGAGACAAACGTCAGTTCCAGTACTTTCTACGTTGTAGGCTCGACTGGGCACTGCGCGCTTGAGCTCACTGTAGTATCATCCTTCCACATCTCTCTCTGATACAAAGCACCTCAATCTCCTTCACACCTCATCCTTTCTTTACCGCTTTCTACATTCCTCTTTCAAAATGTCCCAGACTCTGACTCCCGAAGGTACGTTGTGACTGCTCTACTTCCCCGCTCCGCTCAAACACGAGCGTGCACATTTTGCACGAAATTTCCTATGACGTTATGTTTCTTCAGAATTACTCTGAAGCTTCGCGAAATGAAATGTCTCGTTGTTTAATTTTGGGTCAAGTGGACTGACATGCAATATCTGATATTCAGTTACATGGGCTCAGCGTTCCTCCGACTCGGATCCTGAGCGCAACTACCTCTACGTCAACATCAAGGCCCCCGATGTTCCCAAGGCCGATGCCAGCCTCAGCATCACCGAGAAGAATGTTACTTTCAAGGGCCCCTCCCGGAAGGGCGTAACATACAGCGTCTCCCTCGACCTCTTTGCCGAGATCGACCCCGAGAACAGCAAAGTCAACCACACCGACCGTGATGTCGAGCTCGTTCTGCGCAAGAAGGAGCTCAAGCTGGACTTCTGGCCCCGTCTCCTCGCCAGCACCCAGAAGATGCACTTCCTCAAGACCGACTTTGACAAGGTATGATTGCCTGTTTGTTCTAGTTATAGACTGTTAGCTAACTGGATCCAGTGGGTGGATGAGGATGAACAGGACGAGGCTGGCGAGGATGACTACGCAAACAACTTCGGTGGCTTCGGTGGTGAGGATGGTGGCCCAGGTGCCGGCGGTGGCCTCGGCAACATCGATTTCTCCAAGCTTGGCGGTATGCCCGGCATGGGTGGCATGGGCGGTGGCATGCCCGACCTGAGCGCCCTCCAGGGTATGGCTGGTGGTGCTGCCGGCGCTGAAGGCGAGGAGGACGACGTAAGTTTGCCCTCATATATTGGTTCTTGATCAGGAGCTAACACAACTATAGGATGAGCTCCCTGAGCTCGAGGATGCCGAGAAGTCCACCAAGATCCAGGAGGTTTCTTAAATCCGTGGTAATTGCTTTCTGTGAATTCCATTACGACCAGAAACGAAAAATTAGTGTGCTTTAATACGCCCACAGGATGATATGCTGGAGATGGATTTGCTAGGGACTTCCGTTTACTGACTGTGGGGCCACCTTGGCCTAGCAGTTGGATATACGTTTTTTATAAGTAGATCTACCTCATGTCAAACATCCCAATGATTGATGCAGCGTGATTACGACCATATCTCACGTAGGAGTTAGTTTAGTGTCTTAAGTCTTGAAGCAAATATTCCCAATCCTAGAAGAGCTGAACACAGGTGGAAACTGTCTCAGTTGACCCTCCGTGGGTCTGTTTTTATATCTACTTTGCCCTATGTGCGTTCTCTTAGGAGCTTAGTTCAAGCTATGAATCCATGGACACACAGCCCTGTTGAACTTGAGTACAAATTATAGGTGACGAGGTTGAAACGCACCTTGAAAATGGCTTAAATGACAATGTTTCGATGCCACCATGCTCCAGGGAAACTGTACACAAGCCATGTTAGACAGCTAAAACAGCGGACTTCAACAACAAGCGTGTTTATACGCTATTCTCCTTTAGGTTTTGGCTGTATTCCAACCTTGGAATGAATGGTTATGTTAGGACATATACTAAACCTTACACATTCATTTAGAACTCCGCCCACTGGAAAGAAGCCATATATTATATGAGGTACGTGGGCAAGTTCATCGATTGCTTTTTAACTAGCGAAATAGTGCTCGAATTTCTTGTGGCGTGTGAATGCCAATCTACGCAGTGCTCCTATTTCATCTCGTTTAATAGGACGGAGAGAGATGTGAGGGCTCAAATGAACTACTTTGGATTATGCTGTTTTTACCTATCATGAGCATATCATGTCTTTCATTCTGGTTGTTCAATTTGATCGTGTGGGTATACAGATATATAGGTTGAGGTCTATGGTGACGGTATTGTTTGTCTAGGATATATAAGCGCCACGTTCCTGGCACCAGTGGGACTGCGATCTTCTCAAATGTCTACATGTATTCAAAGGCCCCTTAGTACTTCTAGACTCAAGATATAATGAAATTAAGAAATAAGTCAGCATCGGTTAGGATCTGTTCGTAACCAGAGTCGAGTCCCCTCCTAGCTGTCGCTGTCTCAAAGCCCCGTAAGAATTTGTATAGTTGCGAGCGCTTAAGCTTCAAAAGAACTTATCAGACAGCACTGTACTTTATACTTAGTCTCACGGCCTGTTTCTTGACGAGATATAAGGGTTATAAAATCGGAAGATGCCATGGGCACGTAGTCTGGTCTCGTCTCAAGGATATTGGGTAATAGTCTCCACGCATGATACATGGTAGACATGCCATAGCCTAATGGTTTATATAAGTGTACCAAGCAGCACAATTCAGTAATAACCGGAAGACAGTGATAGTTAATATCTATTGAATTGGTACCATCGAAACGTGACCTGAAATTCCTGCCTCAGGCGTGTATGACACATCATCCCCACCTTCCACATTAGGAGGCAAAGATGCCGATCGCAGATTCTCAGTCCAGCGCCACACACTCCAACCTTCATTCTGCAACCTCTGGCACTCTTTGCCTTCAGCGTTTACGATTACACCGTCTTTTAGAACCCGTCATTCATTGGGTCGCATTAGCCTTTCTTTATCTGTATACCAGTAGCGCACCTTGAACAGGCGCATTTTACAGATTTTCACACTCGAATTAGCGACGTCACTTCCGCACAACCGTCACCATGCCGCCCAAAAAGACAGACAACCAGCCCAAGAAGAAGAAGGCGACCGTTGAGGATAAGGTGCGTGTTTCAAATGCCAACCTCTTCGCTTTTTATTTAATTTTTAGAACCTGCGATGGCTAACTCGACCGAAAACAGACGTTTGGAATGAAAAACGTGTGTTGAAAGCCCCCTGCTCGACTGCTCGACTGCCGCACCGAACAGCGACAACCCCGTTTCCGCCATGGCACGAACTAACATCGAAAACAGAAAAAAGGTGGTGCCGTGAAGAAACAGATGCAACAGCTGCAAGCACAAGCCGCAAGCAACAAAAACGCCGAAGAGAAGAAGAAGGCCGCTGCCCAGGCCCAGCGTGAGGCTGAAAAGAAGGCTGCTGAACAAGCAAAGAAGGATGCCCTCGAGCTGTTCAAGCCCGTGCAGGTGCAGAAGGTTCCCTTCGGTGTTGACCCGAAGACCGTTCTTTGTGTCTACTACAAGCAGGGTCACTGTGAGAAGGGCCGCAAGTGCAAGTTCTCTCACGACCCCAACGTTGAGCGCAAGGCAGCCAAGAAGGATTTGTACACCGACTCCCGTGATGAGAAGGCCGTTGAGGAAGAGAAGAAGCAGAAGGATACCATGGACGACTGGGACGAGGAGAAGCTACGCAGTGTTGTTCTCAGCAAGCATGGAAACCCTCGCACAACAACCGAAAAGGTCTGCAAGTTCTTCATCGAGGCTGTCGAGAACCAGAAGTATGGTTGGTTCTGGACTTGTCCGAATGGAGGAAACAAGTGCATGTACAAGCACAGTTTACCACCAGGGTATGTGTTGATACGACCGTTGTGGAAACCATGCCCGTTGCTAATATTGAACAGATTTATCCTGAAGACAAAGGAGCAGAGAGCCGCTGAAAAGGCACTCAAGGACAAATCACCATTGAACACACTCACTCTCGAGGACTGGCTGGACTCAGAGCGTCACAAGTTGACCGGGACACTGACACCGGTCAACCCCGAAACCTTCGCCCAATGGAAAAAGCAGCGTCTGGACAAGAAGGCTGCCGAATTCCAAGCACAGCAGGCCAAGGATGCCACCGGTCGTACGCTCTTCGAAAGCGGCAACTGGGCCGAGGAGGACAGCGAGCCAGAAGAAGGCGAGGACGACAACGGCACTTGGAACCTGTCAGTCCTGCGGAAAGAGACCGAGAGACTGCGCGAACAGAAGGAAGAGGAACGTCTTGCCAAGTTGCACGGGACGGAAGTACCTCTGGCTACGCCGGAGGTTGTACCGGAAGCTGCGGGCTGAGCCCCTTCACCTTCTCGCGAGACAAGATTCGTGGGTCCTTCAGGATCCTTCTCTACGGACAACATCCGGATACAACTCGGTTTTTTGGTTGCCATGGAGTCGGATCACGATGCCGAGTGATCGCTACAATTGCTTGCCAAAATTGCTCGCTTTGTATGCCACCTCGCCCATCACTGAGGGCCCGGTCGGTTGCCTTGTCCTTTCAACCTCTAAACGTGTGTACTACGAATGTCATGCGTAGAGGAAAAGGTCAAGGCTGACTGGCTACGGGCACAGGCTTTAGGTCCTGTGTTAGATGTGATGGAAGATTACACGGCCGATATACCTTTTGATAGCACCTATTTTCTCGGTAGCAAAAAGTTCGTTCGTTCATAATGAACCTGATGCTTCTCTATCCTGGAATATCTCGCTGCTCAGTCTACTACCCTGGTAAAGCATGTAATCGCTCATAGGCATATGTTCATGGTCATGCTCACTATTGAGAGCAATATTTACGGAAGTTTCATAGTCATCTACAGGGAGGCCTTCGCCTGAAGCAGCCCCTTCTCAAGCATCAACCCTGCAATATCTTCCGCGACGCCACGGGAGAGCTCAAATCCACGACCACCAGCACCATATCCATGGACCACATACCGGTCATCTGTGATCTTTTCAACTTCAATCCGCATCCCGCCCTCTCGAGCAGGTCGCCGACCAACAATGTCACGAATGACATCAAACTTTCCCCCACTTTCTGGAGTAAAAGGGAACCACTTAGTCGCATTAGCAAGCAGCCGCTCCCTGATCTCCAGTGAAGGATTCGGGTCCCAGTTATGAGGTTCCTTCGTTCCCCCGATGATCGTCCCACCATCAAGAGGGCGCGGGATACAAAAGGACCAGGAACCATCAGTATTCTGACGAGTGATAGTCTCCGAGACAGGGTTCCGAACAAGACAAGTTTGTCCTAGAAATAGAAGTCAACACCAATCGAATATAAACCCTCCCATTTCCAATAAACCACGTACCTCGAATAATAAACACCCTAGGATCCCCAATCCCAACCCCAGAACAATTAACCACAGTCCTAACACCCCTCGCCAAACTAAAAGCCTCCATCAAATTCACAAGCTGAAACTTATTCACCTCCCCACCCCCAAGAACAAACTTGCGCAGCAAATGCGCACAATAAACAGGCGAGTTAACGACGTAAGTCCCATACTCCACCCCCCAAACAACACCATCGGGAACCTCGCCACCACTCAAAGCCCGAAACCCATCAAGATGCGAATACACATTCTCCACACTCTGCCGATCCAAATACTCCGCCGGCGGTGCCTCGAGATGCTCAACACCGCGAATGAACGCAACGCCAGACCCGGGCTCGTCGGCCGCAACACGCTTCATGTACTCATAGGTGCGCTTTGCTTGGTTTGCTTCGCAGAGTGCTTGATGTGTTGAACCTGGTACTGGGCGGTAGTGCGCTCCGGCCCAGGGTGAGGCGTAGTTGACTGAGGTGTCCGATGGGAAGTCGCGGGCTACGAGGAGGATTGATTGTGTTGATGATAGGGTTTGTTGGATGCGTAGGGCTGTTGTTAGGCCGATTACGCCCGCACTATTTGCGGGTTGGAGGTGTCAGCTGTCACTGTTTTATGTTGGAGGTGGTTTTGTCGTTGTCCTTTTTTTCGGGGGTTTGGTTGGCGAGGGAGTGCTCACCCTATTACCACAATTGTTTCGTTGGGCATGCTGGAGTTGTCACCAGGTCGAGGGTCGAAGGTCGAGTGGTATAGTAAGGGTTTATAGAGTGTAGCTGATGTCTGCGCACTATGTTGGTCTGGGAGGTGTTGGTCCAGGTGAGTTCCAATGACTCAGTAATCCGGGGAAGATAAGCCCCGCGATCAGATGATACGAAGGCGATGCGGACATGGCCGAATATGAGGAAGCGATTAATACAAACTCTCTATATATTTATTCCTCTGTAATTAGCATTGGATATTGACCTATTAAATATGTTCCGATCCCCAACGTTGGTAAAGGCATCCTGGCTCCTAACATAACATAGTATAGAGCCTTGGAAGCTAGATTGTGACTCGTGTCTCATACCTAACATCCTAAGCTCGTTAGGAAGTAGTGAGATATGTATCTCGGAAATTCTCACCTCAACAATAATCTCTTTTCCCTAGCCCGATTGGAAACTCTGCCGTGTTTGTCGCCGTGCCTGTCCCCGATGTAATCACAGGGGCCCAGGGCCCAAGCTCCAGAACTGACATATGTTCTCTGTTTGCAAGGATACAAACCCAACTCTGCAGCAGATATATAGTAGCCACATCACATAATACCGGGCGGACTGTGGGACAAAGAAGCCTCGAGATCGTCGTTAGGCATCGGAAACACTAGTTCGCAGATGAAACTCGTAGTCTTCTCCCAGAGTTTAAATGGGCCTTCGATAGGCTGAGGCAAATTCAAGGCAGCGAAATAAGTAAATACAAGCCATAGGGACAAGCAGGGTACGTGCAGACATTGGTTGAATGGTGTGGTGTAGGCGCCGAGGGGATCAACGGTGATGGACGGTGATTGGCGGCCGAAGTGATAGAGCTGCAGCTTGACAACAACTGCACGGATCCCAATCACATCTGTCTCAGAAATCACAATTCTGATATTATCTCATGTGTGCAAAGTCGGTTACTTGCAGGCGAAGTATCATCTTCGAGGGAAAGAAAAGAAAACTATAGAACTATAGAGTACTTGGTGATCTCCATGCAGACGACAAGGGTCATTTTCTTCACGAGACCCACTATGATGATGCTGATACCAGTCTGTGATTCGGGGGATCCTTCTGCATCGATCTAAGCAGGCTAACTCTGACTTTCTGTCGTTTCTGCATGCTCGTTGGTGCACTCACGCAGCACCAGAGCCATGCAACCCAGCCACCAAAAAGGCTCGATCTCACCGTCTCCGCTAATAATATGGTCAATACTGGACTCGATCTTAGGACACGGCTAACGGGTTGTCCGTCATCTTAGGGCGGGACAAATGTATGGTCAGTCAGGAAATGAAGCGCCGAGCAGAAATACCCCAGCGCCAACAACCATTGCTCCTTCTGATCGACTAAACTCCCCTCTTTTTCTTTGCCCTGCAAATGCACAGCCTTTTCTTTTCCCTGTCCTACGCATGCGCCTTCTCTCCTGGATCCACGGGCAGTGGCGGCTGCTTATATGTATAATCGCATGTAGACGGACTCAACCCTGGTCCTTTTTCCTCTCCACACCGGCCTGTCACAAACTTAAGCCCCTCCATCACGTTAATCTATGTGATGAACGTGCAAGCGAGTTATTTGATTCTGAGTGTCACTGATATTATCTTTATTTTATTCCCCCCTGTTCTGCGACGGCCACACCTCTTTTTCGCCCTATTTCTCTCTCAACATTTTTCTTATTAGGGTCCAGATCTTCGATCCTCGAGATAGCCCGTTTATACTTACCCACGTCCCCTTGTCAAGGCGCTTATTTTCCTCCCGTTTCCTGAGCAATCCAGATGTGCTTTGCACTACCCTAAGGCCCGTCTTTCGTTTCCCTTGACTGGACTCAGGGTCGTGACGACCGATTAGAAACCGACCTGGTATAAGCTGATCAGGTCAGTGGATTTCTTTTTATCTCTTTTCTTGTTTCTTGGGTTCTACGGGCTTATCACTCCCGGGGCTTTTGTCAACTTGGGAATTGAAAGCCTTGTCAGCTTGAACCATTTATACTCAATCCAATGCCCCATTTGCTACATACACTAAATGAATGGTTGAATTGACATGGAACAGGACCTTGGTGACAGAATCGCGACCCTCGAGGACTGCCAAAGTAATGGCTCCTCCGCTGCAGCCTGCCCTGCCTCGGTTCGAACCTTGTGCTTCCACAGCGTCGCTATTTCTCTATGCCCAGGGCTCAACAATTCTATGCCTTCACCATGACACATTGGCAATTGAACGCCGGTTCCAGAGTCATCAGGAGAACATTGATTTCATTTCGGTGGACAATGTCAGCGAGCGGGGTGCTGGGAGATTGGTCGTCAGTTACGATGTAGGACAGACTGCGATTGTCTGGGATATTTTCACGGGGACCGAAATTGCCCGATTTGCCTCGTTTGAGCATTTGCGAGTGGCTTCATGGATGCGCAATGGCAACGTCGCATTTGGTGAGAGATACATAAAATCAAGCGGTTGAATTCACTTGCTTACCGGAAGTATAGGAAACGGGAAAGGCGAAGTTATTCTGTTCGAACCTCCAACACAAGAACATATCTCTGCGCGCACCATTTTTGACCCGATTACTGCTATGGCACCAGCTACAGATTGTCGTACTCATGCAATTGGGTATGTTAGCTGCAATTGAGTGGTATCATTATGCTAACTAGTCTAGATATCAAAATGGATCAATTTTGATCGCAACTCTACTTCCTCAATTTACCATCCTTCACACTCTGACTACTTCGCGAGGACCGTCTCCAATTATATCTCTAGCTTGGCATGCATCTTCGTCGAAGCAAAAGTCAGATATGCTAGCAACTCAATCCTCTAATGGCGATCTTAGAGTCTGGAGCGTGGCAAAACCACCAGGAAAAGAGTCACCCCGAGTTATTAGGGTATTGAAACGATCTGATTCAAGCTCTGCTGATCCTAAATGGATGGGATGGTCGAAGAATGGAAGACTAGTTCAATATCTGGAAGGGTGGGCAGCCCTGATACAATTGAAGTATTGATAAGTTGCTAACGTTCGATATAAGAGAAACATGGTCTTGGGACGTCCGAACCAAACACGTTACTTACGACCCAATTCCCACTATCGACGGCGTTCGAGGGCTTGCAAACTACGGCCCAACCGCAACTCTCTTCACACTCGGTCCTCAGAACTCAGTACAGCAGTATGATTTGGAAAACCCAGCAATGGTTGCAAACGTGCAGCACCTACCAGTCGGATCTCGATCTGGCGCATCAGAGAATAACAGATCAAGGACAATGTCACCACGCCGCCTCCAGGACCCTCCTGATATTCGAGAACCAACAAGTACCGCGCGGCGCACACCATTCGATGCAAGTGAAATTGAAAGTATCAGACAACGAGCAGATCTGACAAGCCCTGCCTCCTCCCGGAGCAGGACAGAATCGGTCAGCTCCAAGGCGTCATCTTCGAAGTATAACGCCAGGCCCTTTTCTCCGCCCAGTCGTTCTGGCCAGAGTGCCACTACTTTCTCGCTGACATCCGCTGGTGGTGATACACCGCAGCCCACTGCATCTGCTGCTTCATTTGCGTACCCATCTTCTGTCTCTATGTCGTCTGTGAGAAGTTCAAGGGCGGCATCGCGGTTGCGGAATGAGGTTCACCTCAGTCCCGCTGAGAAGAATATTGTTGATTTGTTTCCGTTTACCCGTGCTCGTCTCAATGATGTGCCTTACAAGCAGCAGCCTCCTCTTGATGATCCCGATCTAACTTCCGATGATTTGAGGCAGCAGATGTTGAGCGTGGTGTTTGGTTGGGATGGCGATATCGAAGATCTGATCAGGGACGAGCGTAAGTTCATATGCTCGACGTGGGACATTCAGACGCTAATCCATCATAAAGTGAGCCGTCACGCTGTAGGAAGCCAGAGTGCCATTCTTTTGGCACAATGGCTTGGTGAAACTGATACAGAACAAATGGCTTCCATGGTTGCTCCGGGACCTGTAACAACATCTGACTGGATGCTCCTTGCTTTGAGCCAAATGAGTGGTCAAGCCCAAGGGAACAAAGTTGGACAAGCATTTGTCCAGAAGCTGCTCGAGGTTGGAGACACGCACACTTCAGCTGCTATTTTGCTTGGACTCGGTGACAGCAACGATGCGATTGAAGTTTATGTTTCTCGAAATCATTTCATGGAAGCTATCCTGATGACATGTCTTCTTATGCCATCCGACTGGCAGCGACAGTCGTATCTTGTTCGTCGATGGGGAGAGCATGTTGTCACCCATTCCCAACAGCAGCTTGCAATCCGTTGTTTCATGTGTACCGGCGTGGAGCCATCTGAGCCATGGGCATCGCCGTCTGCACAACAAGCCGCATCCTTTGCGGAGATGATTCGAACGAAATCCCCTCTTGCTTCGACCGAGCCACCACAGCCCAATATATCAAGCATGATGCCTCCACCAATTCGACCAAGATCCGCATCTAACCAAAAGCCTGCTGCGAAGACTCCAGCGCTGAAGCTCATTACCTCGTTCGACGCGCAACCTAACCAACGCTTCCGTTTCCCTGGGTTGAAGTCTGATGATCGTACCCCAACTAATGCTCCAGGGATCACGCCAATCGCTGAATCTGCTGTTCCAGATTCCGCACTGTCTCCTGGTGGTCTCGGATCATGGAAACTGAACAATATCCAAAGCCTGAACCATGCAATGACCTCTCGAACTAATACCCCTTCTTTCAACCGACGCCGTCTGCCCTCAATCGGAGAGACACCAGTGGATGTGCATCCTCCCACGTTCTCACGGTCTAATTCTTACAGCCAAAATGAGTATGGATCAACTTCAGAGAACGAGACGAGTGGTCACGAGCACAGTCAAGATGAAAGGGAGAGTGACAGTGGTCTTTTAACTCTACCATCTGCGAGATACGACCCCAAAAATGACTCTCTTAAACCCAGTCCCCAGACTGCTGTGCAAGGAACAGACAAGTTTGCGACCATCAAGGGTCTTCCATCTCCAGCAGCCGGTGTGTTTGATGCT